CAATGTTGATGTAAGGGATGTAATCTCTGACAGTCATTTCGATGATGTCGCCATTGGGGTCAATCATATATGGTGTCTTCCCTGATGGCCAGATGAATGAATACCCAAGGTCAACGCAACGTTTCCCCATCGACATCACTGATGGAGTGTCCTCCAATATGTGTGCATGTGCAGGTTCGTCGAAGGCTTCGAACTTGATGTCAGAACGTTTGGTTGAACTTGTGACGCCATTGGCAGTGTGGAAGTTCACCACCACGTCATCATAAGTTGGCAGATCCATTCGGTCAATCTTCTTGGCGGATATCAGGTCGTGTCCGCTCCCTGAGTCCATAATGAACCTCTTGTCTCTCTCCTCAACTGGGACCGTGATGCACATGACGTTGTCCCTTTTCCCGTAGCGCCCATCAACATGTTGGACATAATTCTCAGTGAATACTTCACGTGTGACATCATCATCATCATCATCATCATCATGTTCCATTTTGATCATAATGTCCAAAGTTGGGCCAACGATGATAAGGACTTCGTCAATGTCACAGTAGTCATACTTCTCATCTAGAATAATAGCCATTGCCTTCCCACGACTTTGAGCAAGTCTGCAAGAGTAGGCCCACTGTTCATCTTTTCTAATCTCATCAGTGGTTCTGCACAACTTGTTGTGCCCTTTAGAATGCGTTTGGGACTTTCGTGAGCACCTCACATAGTCCTTCTTCTCATAGACATAGACTTCATCTTTCTGTGGGTTGAACTTCACCTTCTTCTTCATTACATTGGAAGCAATCATGAAAGGTGGCTCATCTACGTCGCTGTCATCGTGGAGAAGTGCAGGGGCCGCTTTTGAGGACGATGGAGATTCTGTGTTTGGTGCAGTGTTGAACAAATGAGCGTCATGTCGTTTGTTACACTTGTCACCATATCGACATTTGCCTTTTGCCCAGTGCCAACATGGCTCGTCGATCTTCTTGGTCTTGTTAGCTGGGGATTGTCCTCTGGGCGTCTTGCCGCCCCCTTTACCATGTCCACCGCTCTTGCTGGCGTCAAACACCTTTTGATCATGGCTGTACTCACAGTCTTTTCCTTTCCTGCAAGATTTCTTGATGAAGTGGAAGTGACATGGTATCTTCTTTTTGTCGCGAGGACTGGCACTTCGGCTCTTTGACTTTCCTTTTCTTCCTTGCCCTTTTCCTTTGGCATGTTGCTTTGGTTGAGGTGATGGTAGTACAGGAGCAGCATCAGACTTTGCTTTGGGCTTCGGAGCAGGCTTCTCCTTTGCGTTGGCCTTTGCTTTCGCCTTGGCGTTCGCATCAGGAGGAGCTGGAGCAGTTGGAGTAGGCGCAGTCGGCCTACCACCGCCGGCAAAATCTCTGGCATACTTTTCCCTGGCCGCGACATGCTTGTCTTCTCTGATCCTGGCAATGTGGCGCTCAATCGCATTGATGAGATACTGGTAAGTTCTCCTAGGATCTCCCTCCAACCATGATTCATATTGCTTGATGTCATCTTTCTTCTTTCTTTCTTTGTGCCATAGGCATGTGTGAGAAACGATGTAGTTGGTTATGTACAATGGACTGGAAACATGCCCGTAGGCGCCCCTAGCTAAGGCCAACATTAGCCACTCTCAGTACATCTCCGGGTGCACGAGAAAAGTACGACTGGTAACTATTTGGTATCGGGGTCCAGGTCAAGGCCTGGTGATTGAAATTAGAACTCAAAATTCATTGCAGCTTGTTGGATCATCAACAACTCATTTTGGGATCGGTGGAACTCATTTTCACCGGGCTGTAGTTTTTCCCAAACATATCGTAAAGTAGTATAATGCATCACGCAACCAATCATCTTGGGGCACGTCCTCAAATTGGAGTTTCTGATCTTCTTGTATAATGCATCACGCAACCAATCATCTTGGGGCACGTCCTCAGGCATCATGTTGGAGACAATCTCCATCCACTTTTCGTAGAACGTCTCAATGTTGGCATCACCAAGGTATCGTGATTGAATGATATGCTCCATAGTGAAGGCAGTTTCACGTTGACCTGGTGTCCTGAAATGCTCCAGAATCATGGCAAGAATCTCTCGCCCCATGACAAAGGTTGATCTCCGATTGCTAGCTTGGGTTCTCAGTCGAAGCTTGATTGCAACATGTCGAGCTACATCACCAGCTTGTGAAATAACGTTTGATAGTGCAATAGAAAGCTTCGCATCAATCGACTGAAACCTTTGCCCTCCGCTATCATTCAGAGCATCGATGTCAGGGTTTTGCCTGAGTGCAGGTTGTAACCAAGCTTCCCATGCGGCTCGATCGCCGTCGTTGGCAGCGAGGCATACACTTTTAATCAGATCAGATTGCCAAACGCCCAAATTCTGGTGCTTTGGCCACGGACTGACATAGACTTTGTCCGCTTCTCGTCTGGATATCCTTGGAGGTTCTTCAGCAGTGAAAGCAGTCGTAGACTCCAAATCAATTGCTGAGTCCCTCTGCGATCCACGAAGCGAAGGTAAACCAGGTGGATTAGGAGGCCCAGGGGGTCCGTTAGGATCAGGAGGCCCACCTGGGAAGTCAGGATCATCGTTGCCGTCAGGTCTTCGGTAGTTGGGAATTCCTGCCCCTTCATCCACGCTGACCCCTTTTCCGTCCAGGATCTTCTTGTTGACCTCACGCAGGAGCTCGGTCACTCTCTGATTCTCCGGATGTGAGGGTTGCTGTTGTGCATGTCCTGTACCCGCGGCAGTGTTAGAATGAGCCGTTGCTGATTCGTTGTTGAGCTCGTCATCAAGCTGTCGAATCCAAGCACGTAGAATATTCGACTCATCATTTGCCGCTTCAACCTCACTCTCCAACTTGCCGATCATCATGTAGGGTGACAGGGCACTGCTTGTGATACCTGCAGAGAAGGGAAATGCATTGAGATTCTCTTGGCTTTTGATGGCTAGCTCTGCGTCTATGAGACCTTTCCTTAATCTGGATATCTCCGCATCTTTCATCACCAATTTCTCATCCCTATCTCTCAGCTCACCCAAATATTCACATGATCGTTCGTATTGTTGGGCTCCTGTGGCTAGCTTGTACTTACGTTCACTCTCAAGCTCTGTCCTAAGGATGGCGACCTCGGATCCGAAGGGGGTCGCTGACCCTTGCCTCGAAACCTCGGCCAATTCATCCTTCAGTCTGATGTTTGTGTACATACATTCATCCATTTCTTCAGAAAGATCTTGGGCCCTAACCTGTGCGACCTTAACCTCAGTTTCGAGATGTTGTATAGCATGTTGGTTAGAACCGTGGCCGATGGCCATTGGGCCCTCCTGAAGAGACCGTCTCAGTTTGACGTTTCGGTCCTCAATCTCTGTCTTGAGCTCGTTCGTCAGCGCTCGCTCATTGTTGTATAGCATCTCATAGTGCTCCATCTTCTCGCGAGCATTTGAGCTGACGCTTGATTCAAACCTCAATTGAGCAATAGCCTCAGCCTCGGTGTTCCTGTAACTTGCAAACCGTTTGACTGTGTCATGTTCTGTGTTTCATGACGTAGATTCTTTTAGCTTGTTGGCTTCATTGATACTCTCTAGTGATCTGCTCCATGTTGTTTTCATACAGCTCGGCTTGCTTACGGGAATGAGCGATTGCTTCACTCAACATCTGGTTCTCATCAGTGAGCTCATTGACAACAAAGGCTTGTCTTTGACTTGTCATCTCCAAATGAGTATGTGAGAAGTTTGCCAGTTCAGATTGACTACGATATTCTACTATGGAACTTTCAAGATTTCTCTGCATCTCGTTTCCTTCCTTGTACAATGTTTCGGCTACACTCCTAGCAAGGCTACTGTCATGTTGCATCTGTTGAAGACGTGATTCAGTATGCCCAAGTAGTCCTTGAAGGTGGTGCACCTCGTCCTTGTACTCTTCCTGGATCTCAATACCACGTTGGTGGATTCGTCTGGCACCATGTTCGGCGAGTGCACCTCGACGTTCAAGTTCTTCAATACGAATGGTTGCACCTTCATCTTCCTTGGAGGCTAACATCAACTCAGCATGGTATTCAGATACTTCATTCGTAGAGTACATCAATCGTTTGTTGAGGGTGTTAATTTCATTGAATACCTGTTGATTATGTCCGCGAAGATATTCGGTGAACTTGGCCTCAATGTCCTTAATGACTTGGTCCCTTGAAGCAGCGTACATCTCGGTTTGTGTCACTTTCTCTCTCAGAATTTGACATTGTTCTCTCAGTTCTTCAATGATAGCTATTGGTTCACTGCTACCACGTGCTTCTGTTGATCTTCTCTTGGCACTGACATCACTTGACTCCCTACCATGTTTGTCCTCGACTGCCCTCGGGGTCCTGTGTCCGGTAGGTGTCCTTCTCGGTGATCGGTGGCTTCGTCGTGCATTCCCACTTCGAGCCACATCACGTGCCGATCTCGGAGTACTGGTGGTTGATGCTCTTCGATGTCTAGAAGTCATCTTTTGCCATCCAGATTTTGTCGTCCTTGTCGACTTTTCCCCGCTGTCAGCTGTTCCTGGAGAAGATTGTGAGATACCTTCTGCAGGGGCTGCGGCATTGCCGTCAAAGGTGAATTGCGTCTCTCCGCTGTCGCCTTGCATCTTTGCGATGCTGGTGCCGATCGGATTTCACGATCTTTTGCACCTAACGCTGGTTAACAGCACGCAGGTACTCCGCCTCCGATGGAGGTTGAGAGCCCTTACGGCTGATAACCTGTGAACAGTTGAATCCCTGTTCCGGATATGTTATTTGGTCAATTGCTCGAAGTCTTGCGTTGCCGTTTCCAGCGTCTCAAGAAAGCATTGCGGAGAGCAGCGGTCTTTTCTTTGCCGCGTTGGGGTCTTGAGCCAAACATTGCGTTTGGCTTGAGCCCATTGAAATATGTGGGAGTTAGTTACACTGTGCTCCCATCTAGTCCCCATTTGCAATATATATATATGTGTGTGTGTGTGACTGTATATGGCTGCATATGACTGTATGTGACTGCACATATCTGAGTTCCTGTCAGCGGCACCTTCCAAATACCAGCAGTCCATCCTTCGTTTGCGTCAGAGCCATCAGGCCACACGCTCCCGAACGCCTGGAGTTTCACAATTGTTCAGCACGGTGCAGCCACAATAATCACAATAGACAGTACACATCACAAGAATAGGAAGTTGATCCTGACCAAACATCCAGTCCTCACCTCGAGGCTTCCAGGAGCTGCCCTTCGACAGTATGATGCGTGTAGACGGAATATTTGAAGCTGGATTCCTCGCAGGATTAGTTTCAAGATTCAAATTCTACTCACAGCATACTGTAACAGGACCACTTGCCCCACAAACCATGCCACCAACTACACCAGGAAACATCAAGGAGCACAGACTGAGAGACTGCTCTTTCAAATGGCAACAGGTCTGGGATCAATCAAAATCGCATGCAGTTCAAAAGGGAATCGACCTTCAGGCGCGACCGTCCTGCATGTCCAGAAGCAAACTTCTTCCATCGACCGCAAAATTCCTAAGGCACCAAACGGCACCGTCGAAGAGTTGCGGCTTGACCTTGATGAGCATCTGCCAATGAGTTTCGGTTGCAGTCTCGACCTGGGATCTGGGAAGATTTTCCAAAGGCACCAATGGTGTGATATCATCACGTTGCCATACGTTGCCTCTGGACTAAAACGGTGCTAATATAGTGCTTATATATGTGCCAGTAATGTCCATGTACTTCGTTGAAAGGCAGCCTTTCGAAACCTCTGAATCGCATAGCTCAAAAATGCCGTCCCCGCCTCTTTGTCGTAGCATCGCGGCCCTTCCAAAATCCTCAAACCGAGCAAAGAAATTAGACCATATTAGGCCAAAAGTCAAAATTACAGATCTTTGCGCTATGTCGTCCATATATATCATATATGTCCAAGATCTGCTCAAGATCGTCCAGCCGGAAACTCTTTGAGGTTCAAATCAGTTGTTCAGAGTTCAGAGTTTGGTTCACTTTGGTTCATCACTGTCATTGCTGCTGAAGATCCTCACTTTCACAGAAGTCATTGGGAAAAGGCCCTTGAGAAGCACCCCGGACACACCCTGGTACTTCTGTGCAATCGCCATGGCATCTCATCGGACAGGTCTGGATGATTCGGGATGGCTATGGCCGGCTATGGCAAAGTGTGGCTCAGAGTAATTTCTGATTTCATGTTTTCGTCGCATGTCGCATCTCTGCCGCTGCAAGGAGTGACCGTCATATACCATGATCTGTCTCTGAGCGCAACTCTTTGCTTGTCAAGCTTTGCATCAAACAAGATTGGCAGCGAATGTGACCAATTTATTTCAATTATTTCTGAGAAAGTGCTTGCGCACACAGAGGTGTGCTCTGCTCGTCCAATTGCTGCACCTGCTTGCAACATCTTGCAACCTCAGGCCATGTGTCCAAGCCCTCTGCCTTTCATCCATGAAGCCTAAGTTCCCCATGGCCCAAACCTCAGAGAGGTGGCATGGTTTCCCCCGTCTGGGTCATGCGCATTCGCTCAAGATTCAAACTGGAGCTGCAAGTGTAGTCTCTTGGGAAAAAGTTCTGCACTGCATCGATCCTCAAGTGGAAGAAATATGAAGAAATAAAACTGACTGATTTTATAATGTTCACAAAACTTGGATTGCTAATCCTCGCTTAGGCCAAAATCAGATTAAATGTCCCTGCACGGTTCGCAGCTATGCCCGGCTATGCCCCAACCATCCCTAACCTGTCACTCTTCTCAAGTCCTGGGGTCCAAACGATGTTGGAGATGTTCTGCTCCTGCGACCCGGAACCAAAAGTGTTGATTTTTTGTGGCTGGGCCTACCAAGTGTTTGATTTGAAACCGAGCACGTGGTAGGTCCAGTCTTTTGTCGGCCTTCCTAAAGAAGACACATAAGATCAAGACATCTTGATTTCTACAAGCACTAGCTACAGTACCACTTTCAAATCTTTCAAACATCTGGCTGCGACGCTTTCATGTCATATTCTGACATCATGCCATCCACACTCTGTGCATCACAAAGCCCACGGGGTCCGTCATATCATCAAAGCGTGTGGGAGTATGGTCTGCAATGGCTTGCAGCAGATCGGGGCACCTCAAATATGTTTGCAGATCTATCCCGTATTATCTTGCCATATCTTGACTGGTCAACATAATAATCATCATATCAACCAGGGATTGGGCACGTCTTGTTCAGCTCAGGCAAGCTGAGCAGAGTCAAAAGCCGGCCAGAATTTTCAGCCCGAATGTTTGACTTGAGGATGTTCTCGATTGTAGCCTATGTTTAGAGAGGGAGCTAGATGCAAATGAGGGAGTGGTAGAACTTTTGTAGTTGCAACTTTACCTTTTTTGAGGCAGGGTCAATCAGAAAACCAAACAGAGGAAACACCACAGGAAAGACATCCAAATACAACACTGGCAACAGTAATGCCGAACCACTCACAGCAAGATCAGCAAGCAAGGGAAGGCGCTACTAAATCCTGCAGCGGATGACAATGATCCACTCAACTACAGCCTAAACTAGGATGTGGCACATATGGCTGGTGCTTAATCCTAGCTCTACAAATTGAGGGTTTGCACACAATATTGAAAGGCCAAAATAGAACAGTAAGCTCGGCAAAGCAGGAGCTAGAGTTCTAGCTAGCTCTTCAGAAGGGAAACTCTTTCGGCAAGAAAGCAAACCTCCCATGCGGTGGCCCCTAAAACAGAATGCTAACACGAGCATGTCATGAAAAAAATGTTTTTCCCTTGGCTCTTGTTTGCTGTAAAGCGAGCGAGCGAGAGAGAGAGAGAGATAGCGTAAGAGGACACCCCACATCATCAATTTTTGTTCAAAATTCGCGAGCAAAAACCCGGGATGTATCAAAGTGGAAACAAGTGTGGTAACGTGTTTGTGAAGCAAAAGCAGTCAGGCGCAAAAACTTTGGCTCTGGCTCTCTCTCCAAAAGCCCAAAGCCATAAACCTGGCGTACAAGGGTAGTGTTGGACTTTGGCTGGAAATATGCTGCAAAATGCTGCAAATACCTTGCGATGGTCCACGTCAGGGATGAAATTAAACTTTGCTTGCTGAAGGTGTGGCATTTTCCACAACAACGGGGTAATACCGTGTAGCACCCGGAAAGAATGAAACCAGTTGTACCAAAGCAGGTTGAGATTGGATGAGATTGGTAGCTGCAGCGAGTCAAGCTGGCACATGAGACACTTGAGGCATTCAGCCCAACACGGGCACGGTCCACCACATTGCCCAAGCCTCAGCTGAAAACAAGCTGGTTGAAAGTCATTGTGGCATCAGTCAGATAGTCAGATCATTCGATAGCAGGTGCGCAGGGTCATTCAGAAAGATTCCTAGATGGGTGTTGTTTTCAACTGCCACTTCCAGTCCAAGTCAATCTTGTCAACAAAACGGCCCCTGTGAACGGTTTGGTAACTCTGCTTCATCGGAAAAGCGTGTCAGAGTGAGCTACATGAACGATAAAAGGGCACCTACAACTTCAACCGGGGGCATGCCAATGCCGCTGGTGTTTCTCAACTATCCAACGGTTTGAAGAGGTTGGTGATCATCCTCTCCGGCGATCTGATGTAACAGAAAGCCTTAGACTCCACACCCTGACCAGTGAACTCCTCGAGCCGGCCTCACCAAACACTGGTGAGCTGATACTGATGACTGCCACCGTTTCTGTACCCAAAGTGGACAGACTTATATATTTGGTTCAGCAACTCAACCTGGCATTCGGAGGCTTATTCTGGTCAGCCATCGCCCAAAAAGATTGAAAAAGTCAAGCTTTGCTGTAGGGCAATGTGAGACCTTACATATCAAAAGAGATAGCACATAGTCCCATTGCTGGCCTGACATCTCTGCCTCAACTGCTGAAAGAAGACCCTGATGAGAAAGTTCCAAAAGGCCAAGGCCGTACCTGAAAGTGGCTGCTGGGCAGAACCGTGCTTCAACGACAAGCGTTAAACCGAAAAGACCGTCTTCAAAAATGATACTTGCATTGCATGCATGAGGCTCGGTTCCAAGCCAGCGCGATCGCAAGGAGGAAGCACATTCATGACATTAACTCTGGAAACAAAGGACCGGGCACAGTGTTGGAGATGTCCTCCAGCAAAGGCGAAAAGGATTGAAACGGGAATTTCGGGCTAGCATGTCATCGGCCGATGCATCCCAATTTGGCATGGCAAAAGCACACATTAACAGATTCTCTTACAGTCCAGTCATGTCCAGTCTGCCAAAACAAGAATGGTATCAGTAGATTACTCCAACATGCTCCACCTATGTCACAGTGTACCTCACAAGAAACAAAACACCGCAAAGCCGGCAAGTGAGCCACGAACTGTAGCTGTGCAAAACATTGCAAAACCATGTTGACTGAAGTGGCTCTTGCAGTACCCTGCAGCGCAACTTAAGCAGATCTAGTCCTGTGCGTTGAAGGTGGGCAACCTGAACTGGATGTGGTTGCAAACGCCACAGAAGAACTTCTCCTATCGGCGCCCAGCAGAAGCAAAATCAGCCAACCTCACTGGACCAGGAGATGATCGTAAAGGAATCATATCGAATCATCACGCAAGTGATCGCAGATTGACTCCCGTCCTCACGAAAATCTAGAAGACCCAAGCTGTAGAACAGAGACGACCTCAAGTAGCAGCGCAAATGAACATGCCATCAACATCCATCAACCAACTGGCCATCAACTGCCCAAATAGGACTAGCGCAAGGCTGTGCAAATTGCGCAAGGAGTGTGCAACGGTGTAACGCTTATGCCTCCATTTGAGTGCTTGAATGTGCGGAACTACTGAGCTGCACCGTATACCGTATACTGTATCTAGCTTCCACTGGTGGCAACAACGATGCGCTGCAAAGTCAGAAAATGTCCCGGGTCTTTAAGCCAGAAATTATCAAATGACTGGTGCATCTGTCAAGCGATTCCTAGAAGTAGCATCTGAGCCAAGCAATTCTTTCACGTAGCACTTGCCTAAACGAATCCCAACAAACAAGCTCTTTGTGTGGCAAGGGGCTTACCGTAGGGAAGGTTCATCATCATCATACCGTAGGGAAAAAGTCAGACGGACCCTTTCGCTGCTGCGAAGATGTCGAACAGCATGAATCCATGTCACATACTCCGTGCACTTGGGATCTTGCAGCCCCCGCGGCTTGAAGCCCGATGCATTGGCCAAAACCTCCGCAACACCGAGAAGACCGGAACAAATAGATATACATATATATATATATATATTTGAACTATGAAAACCAAATGTTTGGAAACTTTTAAACATCCTTTTCATGCCTACATGGTCCTATATGCCTATGTATTCCATTATTTCTTCTCTGCAAGCCGTCTGCTGTCTGTACCCACTCCAGGGCAGCGTGCATATGCGGACATTTACAGGCAGACTGTGGGATCGCACATGCACCCAAAGCAAAACCTACAGTACTCGTAGATCTCATAAGCGCTTGTTTGGGCCACTCATCCATTCCACATCCATGGTCTTCATGAGCGAAGGTCCATCATGTGTCACTGAGTTCACAACATGCCGGCAAATGGATGATAGCAAACCTGGAGAAGGCAGCTCACACTGCGCCACACGCATGCTGGGGCTGCACAGATATGCAGAAGTAGGGTGTACAATGGTGTACAGGAGTGCTTCAAAATGCTTCAAACATGTTTGTCAGGCATCCCTTGCCTGTATCTCTCCACCTTACCAAAGCCAAGCCGTAGGTGAGGTTGGCCACCTGCATGGAAGTTTCATGAAGTTTCTGGGTCTGTTTTGGAGTTCTGACCTCGTCAAGGGATGTCAAGGGGACAGTTCGCTGTAAAATTTACAAAAGAATAAACAAGTTTATTATAAGATATTATAAGTTTATTAAGTTTTAAATAAGTGCAAGATACATCAAGATACTAAGATAATGCAAATTACTGGCAGAATTTGTCTAGGTGAAAGAAGTGAGCTCAGCGTACCTCCTGCTCCGAAAACTCCTCTAAGCGGCAAGGTGTTACGTGTGCACCTGGATAAGTCTGGTTGCAAACAATCGCCGCGCCAAATGATTTTTTGACATTTAATTTAAGGAACTCATAGAAATTCGTAGAAATTCTGATTGTCATGATTTGAGACGTGCTTTTTTGACCTTGGAGACTGCCATGCTGTGCGAGAATGGTTTCCAGGTGCCCAACAAACTGCTCGCAAAAGGCTTCGGTGTTTCATGCCCAACAAGCCAAGGGAGTATGCCAAATTCGCGATGCCCTGGCGTCACAGGGTCGACACGACTCTTTAGACCGGACTAGTCTCAACCACTTCTCTACAATTAGGCACCAAGATCACCAAGAACCTGCTCTTGATTGAATCATATTGAATCATTGAATCGGCTTCCCACACAGCCTGGGGCCGGAATTCGGTCAGATTCCTGCTCCTTGGCGACAAAATTTCAGAAATCACGCATAGACGATTGCTACAGCCCACGTTTGCTCATCACTTCGGTCTCGGGGTGATGAGCACTTTTCTCTTCCAAATTCTACGAGTAGGACTGTATGAACGACGGCTGGAAATAACACTTTGGAACGGCGCAATGTATTCAAACAAATGAAAACGCTGCGCGCAGTTTGCGACAGGTGGGTTTGAGTTCAAACCCATACGCTCCGTGGTGTATTTCAAAAAGGCCCACCAGGTCGCCGACACAACATGAGCGCCCAAATGATGGATGAGCTCTTTGTCCTTGTGCCTGGCTTCTCCAAATCTAAGGATCAAACATGATCAGACTCTACTGTAATCAAGTAACGTAAGTAACTAGCTAAGCAACTTATCAGGGAAGAAAAGTCACGACTTAAACCATTAAACATAACCAGATTTGACAAACCAAACGGAACCTAAGTAGCCAACTAAATAACGGGCTGACTGACTAGATGAAAAGTCACTACATGGTCAGGTGACTAACTAACAAACCAGCATCAGATGCAAACGACACCCACAAGTCAAAAAATATCATCCAGTAAAAAAAGAAATTTCAGACTTGCCAAGTCATACGCACACGTCTAATTATATAATCGTGGCTGACTGCGCGAAGGTCCTTCTGTGACTTGTTTCATTGTGATATTCAGGGTTGCACACTGCTGCTGCGCAATGAGTGTTTGGACCACACATTGCATTGGATGTGGCTGCTTTTCGCCCGAGTGGCCTCAACCTGGCCAAGGAATAGACAATGATCCAGGTGTCCTGATCGCGACATTTTCTCCCAACAAGTTTTTGCAGTAAACTTATTCCGTGGTTTAAACAATTCATGTGTTCGAAACGTGCATGCTCATGCAGGCCATGGCGTTGATGTGCATGGAACCCGTCCGAAATATCGGGACAATCAGAGCAATAAAGACGAGAGAAGGAGGCAATTGTCCTGCAAATGAACTGCAGAACAAGAGCCTCATTAAAGAGGAATCACGGGGCAAACATTTTATATACAGAGGCCACATCCTCAACTAGAGCCAGGTGCATGCAGTGTGACTTTGTTGGGGTGAGGGGGCCCATCTGATAACAGCAGAGTCAGAGCATGGAAGAGCCTCAAAAGCCCATCTCTGTGATTGAGAACCAGCAGAGAGCAGTGAAACACGAAAACACTGCAGGGGATGTAACATGATGCAACTGCTACTATAGCTGTCTTTACCCAATCCAACGCCAGGACTTTTTGATCACAGCATCTCTTATCGTTGACTCTGGACTCTAATCAGAAGAAATCGCCCTCGAAGCCCGTGGCCCGTTTTGCCAGGACACGCCAAGACCGCAGTGTCTCCGCCTGGGAGCCGGATGGACAGCCGTCGTGATCCTAGTGATTAATGATGATTAATGAGTCTTTAGATTGCTACCAGCAAAAGCGTCATTGTGTAAGGCATCGCAATGTTTCCGCCCACCTGTCCAGCAACAGGCTCTTACAGGCGTCAGGCTGCGCAACATGCAAATAATGCCAATCGTGCTTTCCACCCAGGCATCCTGCCCCGCAACCCATCACCCGGCTGAGTTGTTGCTTTTCTCCGGGCCGCATCCATTGATCTCCGCTATGCATGAAACATGTCTGGTTTCCAACGGGCACAGGACATGTGCACCATCAGGAAAACCTTGCCAGTGGCCCTGGAGTTGTTGGCCCCATTGTTTGAAGGAAGAGAAGGTTCGCGATTTCACATTCAAAGCTGATTCAGCCTTGATAACATCATGCTAAACCGCTGAAAGCTACATTGGGCTCAGCTTCACCGACCGTCGGTGCTCAGTATTGTCTAGTAGGGTTGGTTGGACTATACGCACTGTTGGCCGCCCAAGCCCACAAAATCTGTTGCAAGGAAGTGGGAGTTGGCAATTAGCAATCGTAGAGTCTTTCAAACTGAGCTCCAAAAAGACATGCATTACGCATCTATAGTACATAATTCGACCAGTGTTCAAACAAAGGTTGGGAATGAAATGGATTTTCTGCATGGTGGCTGAAAAAATGCGAAGTCCCGTGGTGTATAAGAAATCTATCATTTATATATGTCTTGTTATTGAAGTGGTTTCCAAATATTCTAGGCTGCTAGACGGGTAGACACTGGAAAAAAAATAACTACTGGAGAAAAAAAAATAAGGTTCACCCCTACTCTCCACACTGCAAAAAAACTTAAGACACTGGAAAAAAAATAAGAATCTGTACTTTGAACCTTTTTGCAGCTGAAATCTCTTATTTGTACAATATGTGCAGGGTTTGGGCACTTAAACCTGCACTTGCATGATATTTAAAGCGGTTTGGCCTTGAATAATTCAATTTTGTGCAGCTGAAATCTCTTATTTGTACAATATTTGCAGGGTTTGGGCACTTAAACCTGCACTTGCATGATATTTAAAGCGGTTTGGCCTTGAATAATTCAATTTTGTGCAGCTGAAATCTCTTATTTGTACAATATTTGCAGGGTTTGGGCACTTAAACCTGCACTTGCATGATATTTAAAGCGGTTTGGCCTTGAATAATTCAATTTTGTGCAGCTGAAATCTCTTATTTGTACAATATTTGCAGGGTTTGGGCACTTAAACCTGCACTTGCATGATATTTAAAGCGGTTTGGCCTTGAATAATTCAATTTTGTGCAGCTGAAATCTCTTATTTGGACAATATTTGCAGGGTTTGGGAACTTAATTATGCAATTTGCATGGTATTTATATAAAGCGTGTTGGCCTTGAATCCCTTGTTTGCACCGTGCTCGCAGCATCTTGGACTGTACTATGCAGGGGGTTATCTGCAACATTTCGTGTTATTTGTAGCATATTGTCTAGAATTAGTTTTTGGATCTATTTCAGGTTGGTTAGGGTGCATTTGGGAGATCAAAGGATGAGAAGGGTAAAGGACCAGGATGAGGAGAGTAAGGGACCAGGGGATCAAGAGGACCCAGGGACCAGGGGACGAAGGGACCAGAGGACCAGGGGAGCAGAGGACCAGGGGACCAAAGGACCAGGCGACCAAAGGATCAGGGGAACCTTAAATTGTGTTTCCAGTAAATTTATATTTGTTTCCAGGGTCTTCGATTTTTTTCCAGGAAACGTAGATTTTTTTTCCAGTATCATCCCCTCCTAGACCCATTAATCCAAATATACAAAAGTACACCGATTTACTTCACGTCAATTAATTTGATCACTTTGATCCTGTCTAGTTTCCGGATTGAGCTGTGCCGACTGTGGTGTAGCAGCCTGTGCTGGTGGTAGAGGCAGGGAGTGAGACATAGTTATATAGTGCCACATGGGTATCCATATGGTGATTGTTGTGACATGTGATGTACATTTATTCATTTACATAGTTTTATTTAAAAATATATATATACTAAAACATGCATATCATACATCATCATACTATATCATACTACATTATAATTATAATTATGAGCGTCGATCGGTTGGGTGAGGCAAGTGCCACATTTATGAAGCAAGTGAAAGGTAAAGCAGGCCGGTGAGCTCTTCAGCACAAGCACAACAAGGCTTGCAATGACATGGGGCAAGCACTGTCTTCAAAATCTTCAAAATCTTCAAAATCTTCAACCATTGTATAAGTGTCATAATACTTATATAGATGATCTTAGATCTGTAGTGATCTGTTCGATGCTCAATGATTGCTCACTAGACACACTCAAAATCAAAGCCAAAACATTGACCGCCTACTGCTGAAGTCACACAGATCCCAATATTCAATATCTGCCGGCATGGCTAGCCAGGGCTGTACAGTGAATCCTGAAGATTGAAAAAAAGCACCAAAGACTCTACTGTGTGCAGTTGAGATCGCGGACATCTTCGACTACCGCTGATCTCCTGCTTTGGCTTTACAAAACAGCACGCACGGTGCAAAGGCTGGCTGCGTCGGTGTCTCCCGGCTGCAGCCAGATTTGCTAAACTTGCCTTTGCAAGGAATGACAGGAATGACTGACAACGACTCACGCATCGTCAGTCACGCATTGTCCGCATCACATCGGTCATTACATTCATTACATGTCACTGTGCCGGCTCCGGTGGCCTCAGCCAAGTTGAGAAAGGCCCAGCATGGCCCATGGCCCAGCATGTCCCAGCATGGCCCAGCATTCTAGGTGGCGCAGATTTGGTTGCTGCATGTTCTATGCTGTTATTGTTTCGGCAGCGATTCAGCGATTATTTGCAGTATGGCGACTTAAGGATCTTAAGGCATCTCTGCCTCGTGTTCGCTGTTGAACTGGGGCCCGCACCCAACAGTGCCTAGTTGGGCGACCAAGTCGTCAGGGCTCTGGGCGTGCAAGTCCAGATCGCAATTGTGGGAACCTCCGAAGTCAAAAACACAGGAATCCGCAGCAAGAGAAACAATTGGCAAATAGATCAAGTAGCACAGGAATCAAAAAGCAAAGCAGAGACTACATAACGAGACTCGTAACGAGACTCGTAACGAGACTCGTAACGAGACACAAAGAGACGCAAAGAGACAGAACAGGCAAGTCAATCGGCAGGAACAGGCCCCAATCAACCTGACTCCTCCGTGAACTTCAAATTTCATGTTCCTATTGAGTTTTGCAGGTGGACTTTCTTGTGAATACTGATTGGTTTGCCATATGCAGCGCATTGAGAAGCCTTTGCGGCTAAAGTCGGCGCTGTGCCGTCAATTCTCTAATGTAGATCTGCGCCAAGGTGCAAACTGTTTCAATATGTGACGTAAGAGTCTTTAGCTGCTCATTCCTTGGCGGACGTCTGCGGAACATCAGGCCAAGAACCATGAAAAGCTGAAAGGGAGGAAGTATTGAACCAAACAGAAGTTCCAACCGTGGAAACACACAGCTCTCCCCATTGGAACTTGCCATCAGATTCAAGACATGAACATCCATTGAAAACGAAACTGCTGGACAAAGCCTCAGGGTTGGGATCGGTTCACATGCCTAGCCCAGTCATGTCCAGTCTACTGTCGAGTCGGGCACATCACACGCACGTGGAAATCTGGCAAATCTGGACATCATGTGGCACCAGTGTGGCCCAGTGTTTCGCATTGTGGCGCTCATGCAGCTGGGCTTCAGTTGCTTCAGGGAGGGATCCCCAATCAGCTTGATGGTTTTGCACAGGCTCGGCTTCCCCTCCAGGTCTGCGAAACGAGCGCAGGCCTGGGCGGCTTCCTTTTCCACCAACGAGTCACCTCAGGCCATTGCAGGTGCAAATCATGCCCCATGCCTCATATACTTCAACCTGCCTACACTGTAGTATACTGTAGTGCAGCTGCCTCAGCATGCCTCGGCATGCTAAGGATTCCTAGGAATTTCTAGGATTTTCAGGAGTTAGCGGATAGCACTCACCATCTCGACAAGAGTTCCACGAAAATATCCTGAAGGCTTCCAGCTCAGAAGCCAGCCCTGCAATGGCAAGACCCAAGGCATGTCAGTGCTGGTGCTTATCTCTAATCATTAGGCCATGGTGCCAATCGAGATGAGGTTCAAACCATCGAAGTCGCTCTGGCCAATGTGAAGCTGGAGAAACTCCAGCATGGCATTGCGTTTCATCGTAACATTCAGATCCTCCGCTGGGCTGCTCAAATGTTACTGCATGCTACTGTACAATAATAATATGCAGAGAGTCAGTGACCACTGCAAGCTAGCAATTCAAGGCAACGAAAAAGCCTTGTTGTAATTATTCAAATTTGGCTCGACAAAGAAACCTTGGCAATATGTCAGTTCTTAAGATGAATTTGCCTATAGAATGCCAAATGCCACTGTTCATTCAGCACATGAATATTCCATGCCTCCGATCCGAGGTCTGAATGTTCAAGAGCTGCAGTCTCCGCTGGCGGAAAGCGAGTAGTAGCGTGCTCTGGGGCGTAGTAGACGGGGATCTGCAGCTCTTTCAAAAGCTCGGCCATGTCCAATCCTGCGGTACGAAACTGCAAAGGCGACTGGAAGAGCCAGCAAAACAAGACACCATGTCACTATGCTAAAAACCTGCTGCTTCCAGCAGTCTTCCAGTGACAAACAACTTCAAATAACACTAAGATAGACATAGATAGACTAAGTGTTGATGAATAGTGGCCCTGAGACAAGCTTGGTACCAACTGGATCACCCCAAAACAACCGTGGGGCGGGCACACTTTGCAGAAAACAGCAGCCACCTGCCTTTTCTGTTACGAACGTGACAGAACTAGGAAAGGCACAATGGCATACAATGGCGAGCTTACCCCATCATGTCTGTCTATATAAATACTGCAAGTCACCTGACTTTGTATATTTGTAGTGCAGTTCTTTGATATGAAATGACTGGAGTTTTGGCCAAAGCCACCTTGACATGAGTCAACCTCGTATGGTTCAACAGTTTCGATACTTGGGCATCTCCCGCTCTGGAGCTCCTGGTAGGTACTGATCTGCTGATTCAAAAACCCAGGGCCGCTCTGAAAGGCTCACTATAGCAACACGGTCACTGCATTTCTTGGCGAGCCGCAAAGCCTGCAAGATCTGCAAAATGTGTAACGTTTAGATCGACTTGCAGCAGTTCCAAAAGAAGTTTTTCAGGTGATCGAAGTCAACTATAATAATTGGCAAACCCCAAGCAATAGCATTTCAGACGATGGATCGCGAAGCCAGTCACGGTTCGAACGACAGCAAATCCATCTCCTCAAGAATGAAGGAAAATGTACAAGCTACACAGATTGAAGAATCCCACAACCGAACATGCTACCGGATGATACCGTGTGCAATCACAAGGCACATTTATATATGTCCCTCAACATTCATATCACATTCAGGTCAAGAAGGAGTCAACATGAGTCAACCCTCAGGCCTTTGCAATGAGCTGTCCGTGCTCCTGCATGCAGAAATCAACTTAATTTCTCAATAGACTGAAATTTGACTCATTAGCTACTTGCTTCTTCTTGCCCTTTTCGATATGACGTCAGGCCGTTGAACTTTCCAACTCTTCCAAACCAAAGGATTCACGAATAAGGGCCAGGACTGCCAAACTGCTTTCTAAATCCAAAGCTTGAAGCCTTGAAGCAAGGATAAAGCGGCTTGCTGTACTGTGCGAAAATAATATAAATTATCCAATTATAAATTATAAAGTATTATATATAAACAGATGGAAGGGTTTTAGCGATGATGATCACGGCATGGAAGGTGCTTTCTGTGATTCGGGGTCCTGAATCGCAGTGTAGCATGGGAAATCCGCTGGTAACCCACGGCTAGCACCCCTACGGCCGACGCCCGCGCGTCGCCGCGCTGGAGAAGAACTGGGCGCACACATCCGAGCAGCCTTGTCTGCCACTGTGCCAGATTGACGTTGGAGCTTCTGGCATTGCAACGTGTAACACAACTACGCAATCTCACAAAGAATATTAAAGAATGATGAATCTAGTGAACCTAAACCAACTTCATTGAGTCGTCAGCTTAAGTCCGGTGTGGAGGTTTCCACAGACTTCACATCAAGGGATAGATTGCCAAACACTATCAAAGACTCAAGGCCAACACAGACCTGCGCGGACAGCATGATCGGGTAATTCACATGTATGAACTGGAAAAACCACAGAAGCCTAAGCCAAGCTGCGTCTTCTATGAAGCTGGTAGGCAAAAGAGTATCATCCCAGTCAAAGATTATGCACGTCTCCTCAGCTCACGATGAAAGTCTCCACGAGAGGCGTCCATGATGGATTGTTTTCCTGGTTTTCCCGCAGTATAGCTCCCTATTGCGTTCCAAACTTCATATTATACATATATATATATTATATAAATTATATATATATATATCCACGTACATACATACATATACGCGACCAGCAACACATGATGTATGACCCCAGCCCCCCATAGAAGCATGCCTTATCTGCTTGACAGTCTAGAGCTGACAAATAGCAAGGCAGCTACAAGGGTCCAACTTTAGAATGAAAGTTCACCAAAGCCCCCAGTATGGCAGCAGTACACTTCAAAACTATTCAAAACTCCCATTCACATTGTGAAAAATGCACGAGAAGCGTCTGACAACTGACAACATCTGACAACCATGAAAGACCATGCATGTCCTCTCTAAAAAGCCTCTGCGGCTCAATTTTGTCAGACCAAGTCGCGGGCTTTTGAGCTTTCTTTTCAGAAATTGGCTCGGAGTCTTCTTCGAAGGCTAGGGAGAACGACTGAGCTACTGTGCTGCATTCGGAGTCCACACTTCTCCATGCTTTACAAGAGGGGCTTTGAATTGACCTTGGAAATTCAAGCAAAAGAAGAAATGTGCCCAGAGTTTTTTTGTGAAACAGTCTCAGTTTGAAAATCCATTAGTAGACCCAGCAGCAAAAGCAGCAATGCGTTTTTAAAGCTCAATATTTGCAGTTCAACTATGCACCAAGGAAGTGTGACTGCAAAGGGCAAGTGGCCAGACTTCTGGGCAAAACGAGAAAAAACATGAAAAGAAAGGGTCCAAAATCGTGCAAAGGAAACCTGGCGACAACAGATTGATGGACAATTTGGAGAACAGGCTTTGCATAAAATTTGATCCTGCTTTCCATGTGTCAAGCGACTCTGGCGAAGACATCACGTCAAGTGCCGAGGCAGCCAACACTGCCATTTCAAGGCTGTAAGCAAAATTCGCAGACCGCCGCCTTGGGCTGCCGTACCATGCGGAAAGGCAATCAAAAGTAAGGGGGGTTGGCCGTGCTCGGGTGTTAAGTCACATCCAAGGGGTGGAAGGAAGAAGAAAGTAAGGGGGGGTTGGACATTATTGGACAAGGAGGCAACTGGATGATGAGAACGATGGCAATGGTGACGACACCAAAAATGGCGACTGCAACCATTGCCACACATGGCGACGATGATAGTGGCGATGGGAGGGCCTCCCCAGGGGGAGTGATCGTCAGGACAGTCGGAGATACTGGCTATCAAATTGAGGGGTTGCAGGATAACCTCCTGTTTGAATGAAAAGTTTAGCCCACGGTTTGAAGGCTGTTCCTGCAGGATCCTGCAGGTACATAACAGGTACATGCTAACCGCGAGCGAACCATGTCGCAAAATCTTTCTCGCCAAGCAACTATATGCCAGTTGTCGGACAGCTGGTTCTAACAAAGCTACCGACTGCAGGAGTTCCGCAGAAGGGAATTGAGCCCGCTTTGGGGGGCACACCGCGGCACGGAAAATACGTGCAAAAAGGATTCAGGTGCCAGCGAAATTGAATATGGTTTGCAACCGCTATGCTGCTTGATCTCAAGTGATTCAAATTTGTGGACGGTTGGTGTGACCCACTTCAAACAAAAATGCGCTGTCTATGAGCAACCGTAACTCTGTATACAAAAAAGGCACCAAATGCGCTGCTGTCGCCGGCAAACGTTTCCACCAGAATCAGCTGCGGGGTGCGAGCACTGTATATCGGCATAAGACTTCGACACCAAGACATACACAGAAAGCTATTTCCAAGAAATCATCAGGTGATTTGCTGACAAATCGTCACTGAGGCTTCATTCGTGCTTGAATCTCTGGAATCTTGGTGGTTTTGATATGCTTTGATTGCTGCAAACGGCACTGGTTGCAGAAAATGAGCAGCCTACTCCACCCCACAAACGTATTCAAACGTTAGAAATTATCAGCTTTTAGGCAACCGAGTGGCCAAGGAGTCCTGGTTGAAGCGTGCCATCACTTGAACCACCTGCAACTGGAGTCTCCAAGCCCTCTTGCCAGATTGTAAAATGCCTAATCAGTGTACAAGCACAAAAACAGGAACTACATGTGAGTCACAAGGATTCTGGCATGAAGGGAATGAGTCTTGATGGAGAATAAAGTTGGTCGCGATAAGCGTTTCATATGAAAGGGAGGGATAGAAACTTGCAACATGATCAGCGCAGGATCGAGCCACAATATTATGCACTACAAGTAGAATAGTGCTGGAACATGATTGTGGATGATTGTGGCACACAGAGGCTGACAGTGAACCTAGTTGGAAGATGTTGGAAGTGTTTGCATATGTTTCCACCCGTCCACTATTGGATTTGCCTCGAAGAAGTTGGTCTTAGGCAGCTGCTCCAACCTTGACTCAAGATCCAACATCCACCGGACTCAGCTTCAGTGTTTGTTCTTTCCCCTCAAAGTTTCACGACGTGGTGACCACTGCCTTTCAAATGTGGTTCACTTGAAAAAGGGACCCAAAGATTTTCGCCGCAAAGCGAGCGATTTGGCAGTCAATATGATACACATCGTCAATTTACATATACAACAGTAAACCTCTCCATTTATTTGTCTTTTCCTTGGATTGTTTTTTCTCTGAAACATTGGTCGCCAGGAATGAAGAATTGTTTATATTGTCACTTTTTACGCGTCCAAATTACACGTCTTGGCAAACCAATATGACCAACCGTTATCGAGAATAAATCTGAAGCCTTCTACCCTTGCTGGTATCCAAAGATTCAAGAGTTCTGTCTTGTCTGTTGCTAAGCCAGCGTTTTTCGAAGCCACAAGTCTGGTATCGACTCGAAGTACTTGACACCAGGATAGCGGAAGTAGTCCGAATAGCCAACCTCAAATCGCAAGTAACTATCGCAACGCAATCTACTTGGTGAACCATATCAAACTTAGGGACATCAAGCACACAACTGGCGAAAGACGCTACTACCTCAACAACTTTTTTCCAGCATCTTTGAAAAAAGTTTCATGTTTCAAGACGTCTCTCATCGTCTCTCTATGTCTCAGTGAGGTTGACCCAAGAGAAGGGGGACCTTTTTCATCAGAGACCAGTTCGTGCGGGTGTCCGTTCAACGACAGCATCAAGTGCGGCATACCGTTTGCTTCAAGGACTTTCGGAGTCGTCGGAGTCGTCGGAGTCGTCGGAGTCGTCGGAGTCGTCGGAGTCGTGATCTCGTCAGCTTCACATATCTTTCCATATCTTTCCAGCTTCACTTTACGTCAGCTGCGCCCTCGCTGCAGTGCCCGGATATGCCAAAGGCCGCTTCCTTCGGGTGTCGAGTCCTTTCGGATGCGCAACCGGGAGTAGGTACAGCGAAAATGTGAGGTCCAAACGGTCCAAGTCGTCAGTCTGCAGGTTCCCAGTACCTTGGGACAAAGTTGAAAGCTTGAATTCTGCTCAAGCCCCCATTAATAAGTCAAGGATTGAAACCCTACAGCATTCTGGCCATCTGGTAGGATCTCTGATATTTGGCTGAAATAGTTAGAGGTGCATGGGCAACTGCTGTGAGCTCGCTTTTATTGCAGCTACTCTCTTTGCAAAGCTTCGCATCATGCCATTATACGGAGAGCATTCCTTGGCGAGCTGCAAGGTGGTTTATACTCTCACCGTCAAACTCATGGAATTTCAGCAGGAGAGTCGACAGTCCACAGTCCACAGCATCTGATCACCCCTTGAAACAAACAGTAGCCAGCTAGTCAGCTTGAATCAAGAGCCACGCAATTCATGTTCCACAACGGATGGGAACCCATGTGTGGACTGGATTGGACCCTACATGCAGCATCATGCAGCTATATACAGCTGAGGTGCAGTCTTGGAGTCTCCTTCCTTTCCCCAGCCTCTGCCATAGTCAAACCAGCAGCGAAACTCGACCATCCTCTGATACATCCTGAGCTGCCTTTAAGGCATCTAAGAAAAGGACAAGCAATCTGATGTGGAAATTTTGATGAAACTTCTTCACGACTTCAAGCATCAATATCATCAATTCTGTTTCAGTCTTGCATGCTAAGCAAGATTCCACTTTAGCCTTCCGATGCCCACCCCCTTCAACTTGGCATGCAAATCTTCCATACTTATGTTGGTGGACACCTGAGCCAAGCTGAAACGAGGCTGAAAGCACACAGAATCGGCCAAACAACGTATCCTGATGGCACTATATGGACGCTGGTCACTCTTAAGATTCTAAGATGCTTCTTCAAGTGCCACGCCTTCAAGGAAACGCTGGGCCAATCAATCACATCCTGCCAAAAAGGACTCTACAACGAGAAAGTGCACTGCACCAGAGAAGAAAGACTGAATTTGAATTGAAAAAACCTATACCATTTTGGACCATTTGGCTTGAGAGCGGAAAAAATTGGCACAGAACTGTGCTCCCCACTCCGCAGCTCAAACCTGGAAGGGCACTGTAAGATCGTCCGACAGAATCACGGGGACGCATCCGAAAAAGAAGGCTTCATAGAGATGAATTGTCCAAGCCTCATGTGCTGCAACTGGCTTCCACTGCCAGTCCCGCCATTTCCACAGAACGAAAGTAGCAAAAACTCTCTGCTTTCGGTCGGCATCAAGTCCCACAACGAAACACGAGAAACTATGTCTGAATCAACACACTGTCACAACATGTCACAACATGTCACAACATGTCACAACATGTCAAGGTACCGTCAACCCCGCCGGGATGAGGCAAAAGCGGCTGAGGCCAGACCGCCTGAAGTCTTGGCATTACGTGCAGGCACAATGTGCTGAATCAGCACCAAGACCCCGGCGGCCCTTGCCCAGGTTAAAGACATTGGTTCCAAGAAAATCCATAAAAATCCCAGGTATCTGTGATATAGGTTATAGGATGTTATAGGAGTGTATGAGTCGTATATCATCGTGTATAGTCGTATGTAGTTTTCAGCAAAAAGGCTGGAGACTGTCTTCGCGGTGGCCTGAAATAGTCTCGCACAGGAGGGCCAGCACTGCAGCAAGAGTTGTTACCAAAGTAGGAGATGATCCGATCGCGAACCTGCTGCACAAGCATTCTGCGACCAACGTTCAGAAAGAACCCCAACCTAAGCAAGTTGAGATAAGTTGACTCACTGTTGTGACAACAGCCAAGCTTCTCGCAAGTAAGACTGTAAGCCTTATAAGCCACAGCATGCCGTATCCCCAGATCTCAACAGGGTTGTCACCTCCGCCATCAAACTGCGCTTGTACATGTGCCCCACTTGCTCACTACTTCGGGAATGACCGTGAAATGTCGCCAAAATGGATCTCTGTATGACTGGACGGTTGAAAGCCAACATTGCTGATGTTCCTTGGCTGAGCTGGTCGGTGTTTACATTTCACATGCATCAGCATTGTTCTCGTCTTAGAGAGGAAATGATGACGCTTCAAACTTCAAACTGGGATGTATCAAGGGCTGGGCACAAGGGAGCCAACCCTTGGATTCAGCCAAAAGTCGCCATGCAGGAATGTAGCCAGGAATCAAAACATCTTTGGAAAAGACCTAAGCTTCAAGCCAAACGTAACCCACCTTCTGCACACATTGGGACGCTTGGACTCTGTCAAGAATATACGATGCAGATGCCTTTGGCCAGAGATGTATACGTCTGTGATTACTACCATAATCTCTATGCATTTGCATGTGCAGACCATATGAGCAACAGAAGTTACTTGAGGCTAGCGTCAAAGCTCACCTGGTTATCCAGTCCCGTGTGTGCTTTGGTGTTTTCATTGTTTTGATGCACAGATTTTCCAACGCCACCTTATTTTTGCATGTTTTCTATATATATATGCCTTCCGCTACCTCTTCATTTCTGACCAACCACTTTTTCGGAGCTGCCCTAGCTCGTCTGGAACCTAAATCGGAGCCTGAAGACTATCGCACATGCGTGCAACCAACAAAAAGGTTGCTCATGTCAATGTTGCAAATGCATTCGGGCAGTTGTAGGTCAATTCCCAACAATTCGAATTCATTACATTCCTACTTCGTGCCTATCTTGGGGTCCGCGATCAGGCGAAAGCCAAGAAACAAGCCATGCCAACATGTTGGGCCCTGCTACATTCACAGCCTGGAAAGACTCCACGGTCAGCATGATGGAGTTCCTGACGAAAATGTGGGTGTGGGCATGGTCCAAGAACTGGAACTCCACACCTGGGTTGGCTTACATGACATATGATGATATCAGCAATGACTCTGCCAATCTCGGAGTGTTGCATTTGACCCAACCCGCTATTTGTTGAGCAGCAAACTATCCAATTCGTCCCAACGAGCCTAGCACTGATGGAGATGGGGTCCATGAATGGCAAGAGGTTGCAGCCAAAGACCTTGATCGGCCCATTCAGCCATCTTGTTCACTTTAGGTTATTTTTGGCAGCAAAAATTCATCCAATGGCTTCAGTTCTGGAGCCAAGTGCAGTACCTACACTTTAATTAGATTTGAAACGGTAGGTTTCTAGAAGCTAGAAGCTGGATCACAGGATCAACTTGGGTGTCTCTTTGCGAAAAGTTCGCGGATGCTCAGCCTGTGCAAACCACAGCATGCCGGTGCCATCCCAGTCTTCCAGCCAGGCCACGAAAACATGATCTTGCCCCATTTTCCTTAGCGGGGACCAGCATCATGCCATCATACTCTTGTCAGCTATCCAGGGGATAATAATGGAATTGAGAGCAAATAGTTGTTTCAGCAGAGAGTCCTTTGAAAATACGGGAGTTCTTCGGGATTGAAGTCGTGAGGGTAACAGCGCTCGGTGTCCGTATCAAACCCTGGGCAGGCGGTCTCATTGTAACCTGATTCCGCTGCAATAACTGCCACGACAACCAGCACTCTACTCTTGAAGCTCAGAAAGGTCATGCTGCCTAGGGCCTTCGATGCATCAATCTTTACGCTACACAGTACCACTCCAATATCCAGTGCAACAAGGGTGCTAGAAAATGCAAGCCAAGCTGCATGCCTCATACGCAGGGAAGTAGAAGAGGTCCGCTTCTTCAGGATTTTTAGTCAGACAGGTGCCACTTTGCAACCAGCGATGAATATGAACCGATGCAGAACCTGAGCACAAATGAACATAGAGAACTCAGTACAGGATCCTGAAACAATGGATTCTGCCATGGGATCCGATTCGCATCAAATTTGATCTAGTATCTAGTTGGTTCGGCACTGGCGTGGTTAGAAGGGCTGGTTAGAGGCGAGGTGGTGACACATAAACAGCTGATGTTTTGGAAATCGGTTTTTGAATGCTGCCCAGATATTCTAAAATCCCGGTTCTCACTTGGTGTTTCTCATGTGTTGCAGGAACCAACTTCAGAACGAACAAGCAGCTATATGTCTATCACAATATATAATAATATGTGTTGATATATATAGGTAATTTTATACATAACATAACATACCATACCATACCATGCCATGCCATGCCATGCCCTACCATGCCATACAATACCATACCATACATTACATTACATTACATTGCATAACATCGCATAACATTACATGACATACAAAACATACATACATACATTACATTACATCACATCACATTACATTGCATAACATCGCATAACATTACATGACATACAAAACATACATACATACATACATACATTACATTACATCACATCACATTACATTGCATTACATTACATACATTACATTACATACATTACATACAGTACATACATACATACATTACATTACACTACACTACATTACATACATTACATTACATTACATTACATACAGTACATACATACATTACATTACACTACACTACATTACATACATTACATTACATTACATTACATTACGTACATTACATACATACATACATACATACATACATACATTACATACATTACATTACATTACATTACATTACATACATTACATACATTACATACATTACATACATACATACATACATACATTACATACATTACATACATTACATACATTACATACATTACATTACATTACATTACATTACATTACATTACATACATACATACATAAACATACATAAACATACATAAACATACATACATACATACATACATTACATTAAATTACATTACATACATACATACAATACATACATTACAGTACATTACATTACAGTACATTTCATTACATTACATTACATACATTACATACATTACATACATTACATACATTACATACATTACATACATTACATACATTACATACATTACATACATTACATACATTACATACATTACATACATTACATACAGTACATACATTACATACATTACATACATTACATACATTACATACATTACATACATTACATACATTACATACATTACATACATTACATACATTACATACATTACATACATTACATACATTACATACATTACAAACATTACATACATTACATACATTACATACATTACATACATTACATACATTACATACATTACATACATTACCTACATTACATACATTACATACATTACATACATTACATACATTACATACATTACATACATTACATACATTACATACATTACATACATTACATACATTACATACATTACATAGATTACATAGATTACATACATTACATACATTACATACATTACATACATTACATACATTACATACATTACATACATTACATACATTACATGCATTACATACATTACATACATTACACACATTACACACATTACATACATTACATACATTACATACATTACATACATTACATACATTACATACATTACATACATTACATACATTACATACATTACATACATTACATACATTACATACATTACATACATTACATACATTACATACATTACATACATTACCTACATTACCTACATTCCCTACATTGCATACATTGCATACATTACATACATTACATACATTACATACATTACATACATTACATACATTACATACATTACATACATTACATACATTACATACATTACATACATTACATACATTACATACATTACATACATTACATACATTACATACATTACATACATTACATACATTACACAACATTACATACATTACATACATTACATACATTACATACATTACATACATACATACATTACATAATTTATACATACATACATACATACATACATACAAATTACACACATACAAACATACAATATACAATATACAATATACACACATACAAACATACAACATACATTATATACATTGGACAGCACATACATTACATATACATATACATTATACATTCCATACATTGCATACATTGCATACATTGCATACATTGCATACATTGCATACATTGCATACATTGCATACATTGCATACATTGCATACATTGCATACATTGCATACATTGCATACATTGCATACATTGCATACATTGCATACATTGCATACATTACATACATTACATACATTACATACATTACATACATTACATACATTACATACATTACATACATTACATACATACATACATACATACGGACAGACAGACAGACATACATACATTACATACATACATTACATACATACATTACATACATACATTACATACATTACATACATAAATTACATTCATACATTACATACATTACATACATTACATACATACATACATACACACACACATACACACACACACATACATACATACATACATACATACATTACATTACATTACATTACATTACATACATACATACATACATAACATAACATAACATAACATAACATAACATACATACATACATACATAAACATACATACATACATACATGCATACATACATACATACAAAACATACATACATACAAAACATACAAAACATACATAACATACATAACATAGAATAAAAACATACATACATACATACATTAATACATTAATACATTAATACATTACATACATTACATACATTACATACATTACATACATTACATACATTAAAACATTAATACATTAATACATTAATACATTAATACATTAATACATTAATACATTAATACATTAATACATTAATTACATACATACATACATACATTACATACATACATACATACATACTTACATACATACATACATTAAATACATACATACATACGTACATACATACATACATACAGAAAGACATACATACATACATATATACATACATACACACATACATACATACATGAATACATACACACATACATACATACATGCATGCATGCATCCATGCATACATACATGCATACATACATACATACATTAATTACATGCATACATACATACATACATGCATACGTACGTACGTACGTACGTACGTACGTACATACAAACACCACTACGTTACGTACATTACATTCATTACGTACATTACATACATTACATTACATCACATCACATTACATTACATTACATACACTACATACATGACATTACAGTACATTACATTACAATACATTACATCACATCACATCACATTACATTACATTACATACACTACATACATTACATTACAGTACATTACATTACAATACATTACATACATTACATAACATTACATTACATTACATACACTACATACATTACATACATTACATACATTACGTTACATCCATTACACTACAATACATTGCATTACATTACGTGCATTACACTAGATACATTACATTACATTCATTACATACAGTACATACATACATACATACGTTGCACTACATTACATTGCATTGCGTTACATTATATACACATATACATACATACATTACATACATACATACATACATACACACACACACATACACACACACACACATACATACATACATACATACAAAACATACATAACATACATAACATACATAAGATACATACATACATACATACATACATTCATACATTACATTACATTACATTACATTACATACATACATACATACATAAACATACATAAACATACATACATACATACATTACATTACATTACATTACATTACATTACATTACATTCATACATACATACATACGTTGCACTACATTACATTGCATTGCGTTACATTATATACACATATACATACATACATACATACATTACATTACATTACATTACATTACATTCATACATACATACATACATACATAACATACATAACATACATAACATACATAAGATACATACATACATACATACATACATTAATACATTAATACATTAATACATTAATACATTGATTACATACATACATACATCCATACATACATACATACGTTGCACTACATTACATTGCATTGCGTTACATTATATACACATATACATACATACATTACATACATACGTACATACATACATATATACATACATACATACATACAGACAGACACACACACACATACATACATACATATATACATACATACACACATACATACATACGTGAATACATACACACATACATACATACATGCATGCATACATACATACATACATTAATTACATGCATACATACATACATACAAACATACATACATGCATACGTACGTACGTACGTACAAACACCACTACGTTACGTACATTACATACATTACGTACATTACATACATTACATTATATCACATCACATCACATTACATTACATTACATACACTACATACATTACATTACAGTACATTACATGACAATACATTACATTACATTACATAACATTACATTACATACACTACATACATTACATACATTACATCCATTACGTGCATTACATTACATACACTACATACATTACATAACATCACATCACATTACATTACATTACAATACCATACATCATATTACATTTCATACACTACATACATTACATACATTACATACATTACATACATTACGTGCATTACATTACATACATTACATACATCAAACCACATCACATCACATCACATCACATCACATTACATTACATTACATACACTACATACATTACATTACAGTACATTACAGTACAATACATTACATTACATAACATTACATTACATTACATACACTACATACATTACATACACTACATACATTAGATACATTACATCCATTACGTGCATTACATTACATAACATCACATCACATTACATTACATTACAATACATTACATTATATTACATTTTATACACTACATACATTACATACATTACATACATTACATACATTACATACATTACATACATTACGTGCATTACGTGCATTACATTACATACATTACATACATGAAATCACATCACATCACATCACATCACATCTACATACATACATACATGCATGCATGCATGCATGCATGCATGCATCCATGCATCCATGCATCCATGCATCCATGCATCCATGCATACATGCATACATGCATACATGCATACATGCATACATGCATACATGCATACTTACATACATACATACTTACATACACACATACATACATACATACATACATACATACATACTTACATTACATTACATTACATTACATTACATTACATTACATACATTACATACATACATTACATACATTACATACATACATAGATAACATACATACATACATACATAACATAACATAACATAACATAACATAACATACATACATACATACATACATAACATAACATCACATAACATTACATTACATTACATATACATTACATTACATTACATTACATACATACATACACACATGCATGCATGCATGCATGCATGTAAATAACCGCAAAGTCGCCAAGGGGCATTGGGACATCTTCTGGGAACATTTTAGAAGCGGCTTGAGCATGTGGGAATACTTCTGAAGCTGGTACCTCAATAGGCTTGGCTTTGCATTTCACCAAGTGGGACAGATAAACGAAACATAATCTTTGACATTCTTTGACTATTCTGCCCCCTCTGACTCTCGAAACTCTCTGCTCAACCTGCTCGGTTGCTGCAAAGCGCATAGATTTCCCACAGTTCGGTGCAAGCAGCATCTGCAATTCTACACCCCCCTTGCTGTCTCGCTTTATTTGAGCAGCTGTCCAACACCTGTATAATCTGCATCAATCATCATCAATCTGCCACGTGTGCGGGTATGGCTCCCAACTGCTGGCCACTGCAGCTGGATACGTGAACACAAAAAATGACTAAGTCCATCGGTGCAGCCAATGATGCATGTAGATCCTCAAGCTGCTCCCATGGCAACTGTGGTGCCCCTCCAAGCCAAACAGCCTTGGCACCTGAGAGCCCGGAACTGCTGGACCAAAGTCCCCAAGCATTCAAGGTACATATGCCTCTTGTAGAACTGGGATGGCTCCTCTAACGCATGGATTTGCTGAGATGAATCTTCTAGCAACTTCGACGTCAATGGCTTTTAGGACAAAGCGCATGTTGAATCATGACATCTTGCGTTCGCCACGGCAGTGCCCCAGCTTGTTGAAATGGCCTGTTGGCCGCCAGCTCCATTCTCAAACGGAAAAGAGAGCGGGCCTTCTCTTCATCAACATCACCTCAGCTCAGCATAGGGCTAGAGCAGCTAGCTCTCCCAGGTCTATGCTCAACATACACGTGACGTGATGTGATGCAATGCAGCGCAGCGGAGTGCAATGCTAAATATGGTTGGGCCACCCATCAAGAGCATGCAGAAATATAATGAAATATATATGTGTATATATACATATATATACACATATATATTTATGTAAAAGGTTGCACAGGAGGATTGAGTCTGACAGTTCACGTGTCCAATGGCCAGAGGTGGCCAGCTGCAGCGTGATTGTATGATTGAAATTGATTCAATTCTTCACTGAGAGAAATAAATTCACTACAGTGCGGACAAGCACCTTGCATCACCTTGCAAAATTCTCGAAGGCAAAACAATTCTGCCCCCCCCAAAACCGCCGGATTTACCAGTAGGATTTAGGAATTCATGACCGCGAGAGGTGACATCCGCCACTATCGATTAAAGCAAACCCTTCTGCCCTGATGCAACCAAGCCACGGTCGATATCAGGAACTGTGAGGTCGATAGCTGCGATCACACCCTGCCAGAAGTCTGCACATTGAAAACATTACCATTGACATCGACACCACGCTGAAAGATCTGAAAGAAGTGCCTGGTTTAGTCGATGATCGGCATTACATTGTACAACTACTCATCCAGGTAGGGTTTCAACAGCTTCTAGTGGCAATGTTGGATTGGTGATCACAACCATGGCCCCTTCTTCGCTGACAGGGGCAATTCCCAATGCAAAAAGTGATGTTGACAAGCTGACATGTCGGATAATTCCAAACAGATTCCGAGCAGAAAATGTCCACCCTGGGGAGTCCACCCTGGGCTTTCCCTGCATCGCACCTCCGGGCACTGTGCAGAGTCCGACTCCCAAAGCTTGCGCTCGTTGAGCCACTGCAGCGCACGCCTACTAGCAAAAAATGCGACCTACATACAACTGTGGGAGGTCCATCTTTTCTATATTTCCCCAACAGCGTAAGCTAATGGGGTTTTCAGCCCAGAATAGCTCCGGTATGCACTGGTGCAGGCACCGGGTCAGGTTCAACGAGGTTCCGGAGAAGGTTCTGAAGGTTCCGGAGAACGTCTGGGAGGCTTTGGTGCAGAGCCAGGTCAGGTTCAACAGGGTTCCGGAGAAGGTTCCGGAGAAGGTTCCGGCAAAGATCTGGGAGGCTTTGGTGCAGAGCCAGGTCAGGTTCAACAGGGTTCCGGAGAAGGTTCCGGAGTAGGTCGGGGAAGCTTTGGTGCAGAGCCAGGTCAGGGGTCAGGTTCAACAGGGTTCCGGAGAAGGTTCCGGAGAAGGCCTGGGAAGCTTTGGTGCGGAGCCAGGTCATGTTCAACAGGGTTTCGGAGAAGGTTCCCGAGAACATGTGGGAAGCTTTGGTGCAGAGTCAGGTCAGGTTCACAGGGGTTCCGTGTGGGAGGCTTTGGTCCAGGGCCAGGTTAAGTTCAACAGGGTTCCGGAGAAGATTCCGGAGAAGGTCTGGGAGGCTTTGGAGCATGCTAGGTGTTTCCAGCGCTTCAGAAAGATTTGTGAAAATAAAACATTGCGGCTGTTGGGGATACCACCAAAGCTTATGTGTTATTTGTGTATAAATTTATGTACGTACGTATGTATTTTTTATTCATTTACCAGTACCAGTAGTACCGCACAAGGCGCTGGCGGAAGCTTCAAAAAATAGGAAACCTATAGGAGAGGTTGGTTGTTGTGAGTCACGGATGGCAGAGCGAAGCCACTGATGGACCGACAGGTGGTTGAGGTCTCTTCTCTTTCTCTCTCTTTCTCTCTCTTTCTTTCTCTTTCTCTGAGTATCCACCTACCTACCTACCTACCTACCTACCTATCTATGTATCTATCTACCTATCTATCTTTCTATCTATCCATCTATCTATCTATCGATCCATCGATCTATCTATCCATCCATCCGTCCATCTATTTATCGATCTATCTACCTATCTATCTATCCATCCATCTATCTATCTATCTATGTCTCTCTCTCTCTGTCTCATCTAATTACCTATCTATCTATCTATGTCTCTCTCTCTCTCTCTCTCTCTCTCTCGCGCTCGCTCCCTGTCTCATCTAATTACCTATCTATCTATCTATCTGTCTGTCTGTCTGTCTATCTATCTATCTGTCTATCTATCTATCTATCTAACCTACCTACCTACCTATCTATCTATCTATCTATCCATCTATCTATCTATCTATCATCTATCCATCCATCCATCCATCTATCTCTCTCTCTCTCTGTCTACCTATCTATCTGCAAGCTTGAAAACGAAGCTATTCTGCGAGACTTCCGCAGGTTTTAAAACTTGACAACATCAAAAACGCAGCAATTCAGCGAGATTTCCTCAATTTTTGCACTTGACAACATCAAAAACGAAGCAAATCTGCGAGACTGCCTATTTTTTAAAGTTGCCAACATCAAAAACGAACCAATTCTGCGAGACGTCCTTCAAAAATGGAAAGTTGAGTGCAGAGCTGACGGCCTCGTACCAATGCGTTTTGCGATTTTTCCAGTCCATCTGTCTAAACTACTGCGCCTGCCACGAAAAAGTGATGCCAGGTCATATGAAGTGCTGCACCTGTCACGCAAAATCATCTCAGCAAACCTGAAGATCTGAGGCTCCAAATGCAGCCCCTCTCAGGAAATCAGCGCCCGCACCTCCTAACAGCTCTGATGAACATGTCTCTTGAATGTGCCTGCCACGGAAAATGCATCTTTGCAGATCCTCTTCAAATGTCCCACGCCTGCCATCGTTTTTGGACATGCTACAAAACCCTTACGTCTTGCCCACTTTTGACAAGGTCCACAATCCCTTGCGCCTGCCATGCAAAACGACATCTGAACGTCCAAAAGTGGTCCGAACCCGTCAGTTTTTAACACTTTTGACTTCGAAATGTGCTTCGCGCTACAACGGCGTGCACTTTTTCCACATCGCAACTTCCAAAAGTGGTCCGAACCTGGTGTGCTTTGTACATTTTGACATGGACATGTGCTTCGCGCCACAACGGCGTGCACTTTTTTGACATCTGAACTCTCAAAAGTGGTCCGCACATGGTGTGTTTTGTACATTTTGACTTCGAAATGTGCTTCGCACCACAACGGCGGGTTTTTTTTAGACATCTCAACTCTCAAAAGTGGTCCGAGCATGGTGTGCTTTGTACATTTTGACTTCGAAATGTGCTTCGCGCCACGACGGCGTGCACTTTTTCGACATCGAACTTCCAAAAGTGGTCCGAACCTGGTGTGCTACTTGGAAATGTACTTCGCGCTACAACGGCGTGCACTTTTTCATCTCTCATCTGGCCAGCTGGCTCCGCACCCGCCGCTTTAGCGACAAATCATTCGCGACTTTGCTACCTTTTCGCGCACCTGGATCTTCTTTCTTCTGACTCTTTCTCTTTCTTCTTCTCTTCTCTTCTCCGGCTCTTCCCATCTCTGCTTTTTCATCTGTCCATATTGTCGGAAGTTTGACTTCTAAACTTCCTTCGGTTATATTTATTTTTACGTATATTTATCTTTATCTTTATATTTGCATTTATATTTGTATTATATTTATATTTATATCTATATATCTCTCTCTCTGTGCTATGATTATTGCATATAGCATGTGAAAATGGAGTTCATCCAGGTCTTCCCCTTCGCGAGATGTCCGTGCCAAGCGGAGGAAAGCTTTGCATGGATTGCTGGCAAAGTCAGCATGTTTGGTTACTTTTGCGCCAAGCATACTTGAGCGAGAAAGGTTGCCGCTACACAAAGTGCATATCATCATATCGACATATATATATATATATTATTTCAAACTTTAGCCTCTTAACCTGTGGGCCTTGTGGACCATGGAGGGAACTATGGAAAGGATTATGGAAGAAACCAGGGCAATAAGGATATCTTATAGAAGGTGATGTTAGAAACCATGTCAAGGGAAAATTAGCAAGCTTTTGAAGAAGTAAAGAAACAAAACAATGCACACAGCGAGGACACATCCAAATTCATCAATCTGGGTTTGTACTCAAAGTCGTGAAGTACTTGACCTAAATTGAATTTGTATTGTGGACCGGTGATGAATTCAGTTTTGCTAAAAACAAAAACTTGCCATGGATACTTTATACCTATCTGATCCACAGTCTATAGATATAAAATTCTGATTGTGAGATTGGGGTGAACTTATGTTTCGGTCTTTTTTTTGAAAACTAAATCTACTTAGGTAATCTTAGGTGCAAATAAAATTCTACTTAGGCGTCACGAACTGACGCCTACGTAGAATTCTATTTGCGCCAGATAGATTATGCATTCCAAATTCTAGTCTGGGGCTGTTGGAAGACAAAATTCATAATCTACTTGGGCGCAAAAAGAATTCTGCTTAGGCGTCAGGAACTAACGCCTAAGTAGAGTTCTATTACTATTTGCGCCTTATTAGACCATGTCTTCCAAATTCTAGTCTGGGGCTGCTGGAAGACATAATTCATACGTAGTCATAATCTACTTAGGCGCAAATAGAATTCTAGCCTGGGGCTGTTGGAAGACATAATTCATAATCCACTTTGGCGCAAAAAAGTGTAGAATTCTATTACTATTTGCGCCTAATTAGACCATGTCTTCCAAATTCTAGTCTGGGGCTGTTGGAAGACATAATTTATATTCATAATCTACTTATGCGCAAATAGAAATCTAGTCTGGGGCTGTTGGAAAACATAATCCTAATCTACTTCGGCGCAAACAAAATTTTGCTTAGGCGTCACAAACTGACGCCTAAGTAGAATTCTATGTGCGCTTAAGTAGATTATGTATTCCAAATTCTAGTCTGGGGCTGGCATTTGGGTGAAATATGGCTTGCTTTTTCTTCAAGATGGGAGACATACTCAGGCGACAGAAACAAACGCCGAAGTGGAATTCTATTTGCAGCTAATTAATTTTCTAGTGTGAGACTGGGCCAAATTCAGCTTTGATTACTTAACAACCTTGCCCCAAATACTTGAAACCTTGAATAAATACACAACCCGCATACAGATAGTGGGTTTAATTTATGATGCTGCATTTGTTTGAGGGAAGATTCAGGCGGTTTAAGCGCAATTGGAGAAATACTTAGGTGGAAGGAACACGCGCTGAAGTCGAATTCTATCAATATGTAATTTCAATTATTTGGAAGGCAGTCCATGTGTTTTTGGGCGCGCTGAGCTGGCTTCTGCAATGTGTTCAGGCTGTTGGGATTATGTGACTTCCCTTTTCAAAAAAAGAACAAAGGCAATGCGGTTGTTGGCTGCATTCCCATTGCTGTCTTTTTCCCCACCAGTTCTGGACTGGATCAAAAATATGCAGTAGCGGTAGCAGTGCAACATCCAGGCTATATTGTTGGTATTTTGTCACTCTGGCAAGACTGTTGCTACTACCGTGCTACTACCCATACAAGAAACAAACTATATTGTATATAGCTGCCGATAATTTCTTGGACCATGATTTGATACTTTTCAAAATATATATATATAGCGCTAGCGGTGGGGTTCTTGAGGGTGATGATGGGTTACTTTCAGGTTGGGACTAATGCATCCGGAATGGCTCAACCTTGTCCGTGCCTTCCTATTCCCGGGATTCTTGGCACAGAGAACCAATTTACGTGACAATTTTCTTAGCGCAGAGGTCCCCAGAACGGTTCGGAACGGTTCTGCAGACCTCCAGAACGGTTCGGAACGGTTCTGCAGACCTCAACTTTGCACGGAGATATTTCTCAAGGCTACAAGAGCAAGGAGTCAGAAAAACGACAAAGGGAAGGCAACTTCTCCGCCTAAGTCTTTGAACAGGCAGTGCAAAGGCATGCTGAGCACAAGGGAGAAGGTGAAACTGGATGTAGACTACAAAAGGCTGGAAGTTTCTCAGCTGTTTGTTCATGGAAGGCGTGGCCCAATTCAAAATCTTACCTGTCTTGAAAACTGTTCTGTGGAATCTGTTCTAACAAAATCATACAACTGTGTAGTTTGTATTGACATATCCGTTTGAAAGTATCGCTTGTGTCGAATCATCATTGCTTATGGTACTAGTATGTGTTTATTTGTTCAAACTCTATGTATTAAAGTTAAATAATTATAGTCAAAATATGCTATTATACAAGTTAACATATGCTATTATATGGAGGTCTCCGGAACCGTTCCGAACCGTTCTGGGGTCTATAGGCTTTGAATCCGGAACCGTTCCGGAACCGTTCTAAATAGTTCTAAATAGTTCTGAGGTTTTGGAAGTATCCGGAACCGTTCCGAACCGTTCTGGGGAAATCTCCGGAACCGTTCCGAACCGTTCTGCAAACCCCAAATAATGGCTTATATGTTAACTTACTTTTATACTTGTATATAACTTGATAAAACCAAATATACACACTTGTAGCTTATAGCTACTTTGTAAAATACAACTCATAATCCATAACTCTTGACTATCAAACTTCAATAAATCAATTTATAAGGTTTAAAAACTGTTTTTAAATTGAAACACATTGTTATAACTGTTAATTTACAACTTAGAGCTTCTAGTTATGACTTGACAATAAAAACTGTGTAACTTATAACTTTGTAACCTTTTAACTTTGAACTTACAACTTATAACTAAAACTTAGAGCCTTTAACTTGTAACATAACTTTGACTTTACTTCTCGATTTGACTTCAACTGTTTAACTTTATAAGTATATTTTTGATGTGTGCTTTACTTTACTTGCTTTGTATTTATGATTTATATAAGACTGTTTGAGTTTTTAGATGAATTATATGTTCTTGTTTGTTCGTGTATGTTTGAAAGTTTGGAAGTATATCGACGGGGTTTGCTTGTATAAAACGCAACAGTAAAGTTTAAGCGTCGTATTTGGATAAAATGACATATTTATAATGATTGTAATCTGTTACTGCAACACTGCTACGGACCAATGCACAACAACGTAGCGACAGAAATACAGTAACACATCTTTGATCTGCTACAAATACGTAGGATTCCGTTTGCAGTTTATAAATTTGTTTCACCATGTTTTACCTAAGTTTTACCGTGGTCTTCGCAGCACCGAAAACAATACTTAAAAACTGTGGATTTGCATTTGCAGTGCATCCATGCACATGAGCACACAGCCATACATACACTCATCAATGCACTAGTTAACCAATTTTACAGTATACAGGGTCACATCGTAATATTGTTTTTATGATTTTTTTTTCTAGTTGGAGCTTGCGCACATGCATTCTTTGGTGTTCTCCTTTTTGAAGAATTATGGGGCCCCGAATTACACAGATGTTGTATATTGTTGTATACTGTTTTCCTTTCCAACTTACGGACCAATATTTTCAAATACGAAGTTTGTATGTAACATCTACCTTGGTGTTGAAAGGTTTTTTGTCCAAGAACTTGGAGCAATGCGTTTTTCTTTCAAAGTGGTGGGTTTCTTCATTGGGTGACATTTTTAGTGGAAACACCCCTTATTTCCATGGATTGCTACATAGTTCTTTCCATAGTTCTTTCCCTGGACATATGAAATCAACAGGAATCCAAATTTAAGAGACTAAGGTTTGAAATAATATATATATATATGATATAATATATATATATAATATATATATATATAATATGTGTGTGTGTGTCATCTGAAGCCATCCCTTCCCAACAAAACAAGGGTTTCAAAATGAGAAGACTGCGAAATTCGTGTAATGAACATACGTAGCATACTCAGGGAGCCCGGAGCCTTGTCATGAGATCCATTGTCAAAGGCGACGGTGGTTGGCCTACCTCTCATGAGAACATGAGGCATGCACAATCCACTGGTCAGAGCGCCTGCTCTCAGATGTTGTTGGAAAAGTCCAGTAAAAGTTCTACAGCGATTGACATGATCCAAACCGAGCTACTCCATCTGTCTATAGCCCTCTATAGCACACCTGTTCAACATGAATCTCTGTGCACACTAGAAGCTCACAATTTAGTGGCACCTGCCCATACACGTGACTTAAGTTGAGTGCCACTGAGGTCTTCTTCCTTGGCAGCTGTGAGTCACGGCGGAGGACGCGTTGGAAGCGTTGGAGTTCATGTCTACATGTTTCTCCTTCTTCAAACGGTAAGTGTTGACGTGCAAGTTTGAACCATACCCACGGTACGTGGTCTGCGATCACTCCAAAATTGCAAATAGCCGCTGTCCGTCCTGAATGGTTCTATCATGTTCTATCTATGTCTCTCTTTGTCCCTTTATACCAGTCCTTTAGGACTTTAGGACCTGTGGGTTGTGCTTTGAAGTTTTCTGTCGCGCCAAATCTAAGCTTGGTGCTTTGGGTCGGAAGGGATTTGCTTAGCCTTTTTTGGCCCCTGTGGAATTTGTGACCACTATGACATTGTGGAGGTGTGAGAGGGTGTGCAGCTTCTTGCCGTACCTACCAGCCATATTTGCAGAGTATCAACCCCAAATCAAACAAAGTTCTGGAGGTGCCTGGATTGCTCTACAAACAGATTGCAACCACGTAACTACCTGGGCACAACAAACGCCGATGGGTGGCGTGACCAATTTGTTTTGGGGATGATCAATGGCATGTCAGCTGTCGATCCCGAACTATTGCGGAGAAGGTGACAGCGGACCGTACTTTGCGCGGTAGGGAGCGTTCCAGCGCGAAGAGATCTGCTCTTGACTTGTTTTCTTTCAGTGGGGAGAAGAGAATGACAAGAGCCCAAAAGAATGGAAATGAAGAAGCTGAGAAAAGTTGGGAAGTGATGGGCCACTAGGAATGACAAAGAATGAGGGCATTGCTCCAAAAATTGACAAGGAACCAAAAGACTTCAGAAAGAAGCACAAAGGGTTTGTTACTAGGCTGTCTTGGCTCGGCTTTTGGCTTGGCTGGCTTGGATGCTTGGTTCAATGTACAGATGCTTGGCCTGCAACTAAACCTGGCCCTCGCGCCAGTTGGGCTGCTGACTAGCAATGGTTTCCCAAACGTGGAAAAGCTGAGTGGTGCCATTAGCGCTCACACGTCGCTTGCTGCTGCACAGGGTGAAGTTTCTGTGTCTTGCATTGCGGCTGGCGGCTGCGTTGAGCGTATCTGTGCTCGTAACTTGGCCACGGTGATGGGACAGGGGAGCTTTAATGGCTGGTTAGCGGTTCTCCTGCAATTTTGCTGCTTTTGGTTCCTTGAAAGGGGTTTGGAATTCAGAGTTTTTCCTGTCGAAATACCGTCCATGTTTCGGCCCTTTTGGTGTCAAAAAAAAGGGAATCATCAGGAGTGCTCGATTCTGTGGAAAAGTCGGGTTGCCGGTCCCGCGTAGCGGTTGGCTTCAGCGGCATCAAACCAGGCGTCGCCTTTGCCATTTTGGCCAAAGAATTGTTCATTCTACTGTTTATGATGAAACGCGTTTTTCCGATCCTCGTCCGTCCTCTCTCTTCCCTTCCAACCTCTCAGCGGATAGCTGTCGCGGTGGGGGGGGCTGGCGCTGCTGCTACTAATCAATCGAAAGCAGGCCATAGCAGGAGCCGAGAAAGAACTTTTGAACGCTCTTGTTGGGGCCCTGGATAAATGCAAAAGTGGCGGTAACCCGGCCTCTACTGGTAAGGGCGGAAGTAAGACCAAGGACCCCCACCTACTCAAAAGGGAAACTGGCCAAAGGGATCCTACCAATTTGGGACTTTTGGATGCCATTGTTCGTTTGGTTGATCGAGCCAAGAAGAATCCACAGGGTTTGCTCAGCCGTCTTCACTCTCTGACAGAAAGCAGCTGTCCAAGGCCGCCGTTGCAGCAAAAAAAGAAGAAGAAGAAGAAGAGAAAGAGAGCGGGTCCTGACTCACCCGGGAACGGACCCGTGGGTGACAAGGGAAAAGGGAAGGGTTCCGGTAACAAAGGGGATGACTCTTGGGTTACTGTTGTTACAAAAAGGGAAGAAGGTTTCGGGTGACCTTCTCTAGACCCCCTGAAAATGCGATTTTTCGTTTAAGGGAACATGACTGGCCGCCTGGCCTGGTTTTTCTGTTGTTCAAAACATCCAGAAATTTGGTTCTCTGTTGAAAACCAAGACCGGGACCACCAAATTTGTTCTGCTTTGTCAGTCAAGGATGAAGTTTTGGAAGTTATTCAAATGGTGAAAGGAAATAAAGATACGGTTGCCACTGTTTTGTTTCCGTGCCCCCCTGACATTAAATTGGATGATGATTTCACCGCTGTTTCAAGTCCGGTTCTTGCTTTTAATGGCAGACTGGTCACTAGAAATTTGGCGAAATGGAGCTCCACCGACTCAACCTTGCCTCAAGGGATTCGTGGTGCTGTTCCGATGGAGAAACGGCCTAAAGGAACTTCCTGGGAACAAAGACATGCCAATACCACTGTCATTCGGGTCACCTTGGATTCTCGTGTTTGCCTTGCGGCCTCGTGAAAAAGCTGGTGGCTAACCCTGCGGTTAGAGTGCTGCAATGGATGCATGAGATGTCTCCGGGGCGTCATGCTTTAGCTAAGGATTCATGGGGATGGGAGCTGCAATCTGGTGCGGCGGGCCCAAACACCGTGATTCGTGGCCTGTTCCGTTTCAAACAAGATCCTTCTCTAGAACCTCTTCTCACGGCTTCCGGAAGGAGTCACAACGGCATGAGGGCTTACTGGGATCCTGTGAATTGGGAACAAACCCAATAAAAAAAGAAACTTTTTGTCACTTGGATTGAAAGACAGGATTGTGAAAAAGATGCTGAGTATTCTTCCAAGGCTTCTAGTCTGGGTGGTGGACTAGGTTTGGCGCGAGGATGGTGTCAACTTGGCCTCCGTTCTTTCAGCACGGCTTCTCCTCTGGATTTCATCACTACAAATTGGACTTTGCGTGGAGCCCCCCGAAATTGGGATCAAGAAGGCGTTTCCCAGTTTTTAGGTGGTGCTGATTTTACGGACATCGTTTTTACCACCAAAAAAAAGGGAAAGAAACGGTATCACAAGGGTCCCCAGACTCATCTTCAGCTTTTGTTTGAAAGGCAAGATTTCGAACGAGCGGTGGAAAGAACCCAAAGGAATGTTGTTTCTCATGGCACCACCAGATTACATGGTGAGAGACGGGTCTCGCTTGACCCAACGCTCAAGCGTCGTGTTGAAATGGTCGATCCGACCACGCCTGCTGAGCAGCCTGAAGTCCAGCCGGCTAAAATGGACCTCCAGTCGCAGCAATCACAGGCTGCGGAAGCCAAAGGGGAGGATGACGCAGATATGGGGGCTGGCTCTGTCGCAAAAAGACTTGCTGCTGTTGGCGCATCCCCGGACCATCAAAATTGATGGAGAAGGGAACTGTCTTTTCATCAATGTTGCGCAAGCTCTGGAGAATGCTGCTGGGGGGCTCACAACCACCGCAAGGTTAGGGCTTCTTGTGTTACCCCATCTTCAAAAGCACTGTGAGAAGATGTGAGAAATATTTTTGGTTTTAGGATGCGAAGCTTCCTGACAACGCGGATTCTCCAGACATTACCATCACTGGTTTTCGCAAGTACATCGAAAAAGTTGCAGAAATCGGGAGCTGGTCTGGTAATCTAGAGCTGGCTGCTCTCGCAGCTACTCTAGATAGGCCGATTTCGATTTTTCACGCTCACGGACAAATCTATTTCAACATGGAAGGCGTTATGTCGATTTGTTTTTGCATTATGCACCAGATCCCGGGCATTATCAAGCCCTTCGTGTGCCAAAAGGCTTGGTCCTGCAGCTTCGAACGAAGGCCCTGGCTGGCCGTCTGAAAGGCGGGAGGCGAGGGGGCGGCAAGACCAAGTCTGCTAGCTCTGTTCTCGGACAATTCTGCAGCTAGCGCTAGTAGTGCCGGTAAGACTAGGGGTTCTGTTCGCGGCAAGTTTTGTCAGAAGAAACATTCGGAGATTTCTGGTCCTCCTAGCCCTGCTACAGTGCAGTCCTTGGGACCTGACTCGTAGAACCTTTTGAAACGCCGAACCCGCGATGATGATTCCTTCTCCGGACCCCAAAAAAGAGCCAAGGGGAATACTTTGGTTGATGGCCAAATTTCCGTTTTTTCTGGATGTGCTTCGGCGTCAGCGCAGACGCGGTCAAAAAGTGCAAATGTTGGTAGCAGTTCCACGAAAGCAAAAGCTAAAGCGGCCTTGCTTGCGGCTTCGAAGAACCGTGCCAATGACAAAGGATTGAGCTGTGCCAATTCTGTGGAACCGGTTTTTACTAAAGACAGAATGGTTCGTTTTCGTAAAACCACTCTTGCCTGGTTTTCTCCAAAACTGGGAATACCCCGGTTTCTCAGTTGCGTTCCGCTCATATGAAGTCTCATCATCCTGGACATTACAATGGTGCTGTTGCTTCTCATCTTAGAGATTATTTTCCTGCTGTTGAGGCGTCCACCGACATTCCGGAGGACCAAAGGGCATGGACCTGCGCCTTTTGCCCCAAAGCTCTTCCTCAATTGAATCGCAGCATGCTGCCAGGGCCAAAAAGGAATCGTATCAGGGTCAAACAGGGTCTTTCCAGGACTGATGACAAAGTTGGTTTGGGTGACAAATTGAGAGCTTTTGCCGCCAAAAAAAGCGGTGACAATTTAGGAGGTCATGAGGTGGCTGGTGTTGCTGTTACATGGAAGACTTGGCCTTCCCCTATCAAAGACAGAAACCCTTCCTTCAAGACTTGCAAGTGGTGTCGTGTGTTGTTACGCAGTCAAGGGGGAAAACGTTTGAGAGTGGCCTGTCAAGGGCTTCGTGAAAAAGCTCACTGGGCCATAGCTTGATTGTGGCCAAAAATAGATAGAAACAACCAAGAGGCTTTGTGTGATGCTTGGGGGGGTTCTATGCAGAACGTCCAAGAGTGGATTGCGGCCATGAATCATGAATGTGTTTCGTTTCATGTGGACTGGTCTAAATGGCCGCTTCCTCGTGCTAAGCGGCAAAAAAAGGAAAGCTGGTGACGTGTCTCAAGTGCCGCATTGTCCGTGCTGCTATCGGAGCGTCTCGTTTGTTGGCTGAGTCATACTGCTCATCTGCCTTCCTTGTGTTCCGCAGGGGTGCCCTTTCGGTCCTGTCGCTTTGTTTGGCTGGATGGCCTCTGGTATTGCTCGGGTGCAAAGGTCTCATGGCTTGTCTCTGGCCCGGGTCTTCATGGATGATAGAAGCTTCACTTCGTCTACTGTTGAAGGTTTGTTGTCTCAGGTCAATGCTTGGGAGTCTTTCTCTGTTGCTGTTGGTCTGCGGGAAAGTGCCGAAAAGATTCAGCTTACTAGCTCTTCTACCCAAGGTCTTGATCAACTCGTGGCTGCTTACCATACTCCGGGTCGTGTCTCTTTTGATTTTGTTGTCTTGGGTTGCTCTTCTGCCGTCCGTTTTCGTGGTTTGTCTTCCGAGGAGGCTGATCGTATTGCGCGTGCCAAACGTACCACTTTCTTGGTTGGTCTGCTTCGGTTGGGCTTTGAGCACCGGTCTTTTGCTGTTAACAAGTTTGTTTATGGTTGGGTGTGGTTGGGTTAGCCGTCTTCCCACTAAGGTCTCTGTCTGGTCTGAGTGGTCCTGTGTTAGGTCTTGTCAACGTGTGATGACGGCCGCCAACAAGTTCTTGCGTGCTATGCTGTTTGGTGGTTTGCTTCATCCCCAGTGTGTCATTGGTTCTGGTCTCCTGCGCTTGGTTCACAAGACGCGGGGTGGTGGTGCTGCTTTGGAAGTTAACCCCCGTAAAGGTTCTTTGTTGCGGAACCTTCAGGGTTGGTTCGATCAAATTGGGGTTGTTAGTCTCGGTCCCTGGAAATGGACTGCGGGTCACAGACAAACTCTTATTGATTTGAACCATATGGATGGTTTTGACCTTGCTGTTCACCGGCTGCGCGAAGCGTGGCGACTTCATCAGTGAAGTCTTTCATGTCTAGCAAAAGACATGAAGTGCCTGAACTTATATACTCAGGTTTCGGACAGTATGATTCTGTCTATTCGATGGAACAATCTTAGAGATCTCATCCGTGAGTCTCATAGTCTTAGGAGTGTGGCTGTTGGGGCCATGTTGTCGCCGGCCAGGGTCGTGGTCGTAAGGGGTTCCCCATTTGGTGATCGTTGTGTTTGGGGTAATTGTAACGCTCTGGGTACCCATGCTCATGTCTGTTGGGAATGCGATCAAAGACAGAAAAAACTTCAACCCCAAGATCCTTTGGATGCTAGGTTTGGTTGGTCTAGTGTGTCCAGTTTGCGCTGGCTAGGACGTGTTCAAGAGACTATTTGGGAGTCTAGGTATGTTTCTTCTAGGTCGTAATGACCAACGCTGGTTAAGGGTTTCCCAGGTCTCTTGGTCTACTAAGGCCTGCTGAGACTTAGGTGTTTGTAAGGTATTGCGCCGGCGGCTTGCGCTGCCGACACAAACGTGCTGTGCATTTGGGCGCTGCGCCAAAGTCCTACTACTATCAATGGCATGTCAAGAATGTTTTCGTTCAGCATTTCCATGCGGAAACAACCCGTTGGCATTGTGTCCACCCAAAACATTTTTCCAGTTTTCGTGCAAGATTCGACAGAAACTGCTTTGCAGTCAACCCGTTGGCAACTCTGAGGCCCCACACACACCCAGAGATTTTCAGCTATGTAGACACGTCAAGTCGTGGAGATTATATCAGTATCAATCCGTCGCTATAGTCTATAGTGTACATATTTGTGTATGTATCTATCTATTTAATTAGTTAGTTAGTTATATAATATTATATAGTTCGTTAGTTGGTTATCTCAACTTGGCTGAGCGTCACATCACCCCAAAATTCCTGGTGCGGGCCGACGCAATCGGTGTCTTGGGAGACAGCTGCAAGAACTCGCCCGAACGCTTCGGAGAAGTCAAGCTCCTCGGGCCCGAAATGACGCCCCAGGTGACGCCCCAAGTGACACCTGAACTATGACACCACACCACGCACAAAGCCCATTTGAACTTGTGTCTTCATACCTCGCCATCTACTGGGTGACGACCAATCGACAAAGCAAAGCAACCATTGCTGTAATTTTGATTGTCTGACTTGAAAATTCAAAGACCCTTGTACCTGCAAGAGTCAAGCTCCAGGCACATGCTGAAGCCAGGGTGGATACGACTGATAAAGACAAGAAGGGAGAAATATCATGAAATATCTTTCATATATTTCAATGATTTTCAATGTATGTCATGTACATTTGTAGTCATGGACGCACCAGGCGTTTTGGCGGCTGCCAGCTGCCGAGATCGGCCGAGCAACTAAAGGGTTCACAGACATCAACAGGTCAAAGATGTCGAGCTCTTTGTCGGCGCAACATCTCTCAGGCCTTTTTGGAAGCTGGGGCAGCTGGGGACAGGGAAAGCAACACAAATCGCAATCGCCAACGAGCCTCCCTTTCAAACAAATTAAAACGCACTTTACTTTCCCTTCAGCCCGCAGAAGCATACTGCATCGGCTGCATTGGCTGCTAGTCCAGCTGCCCGAAGTGCGTATCCCAACATCCTTCTTTAGCAGTGCCGAGGCAACAATCCTCCGTGAAACCAGCGAAGTCCGGGTTTTGGGTGTCATCGCACACCATTTCTTCACAACTTGGTTCACGTTTATCATTTTGGCTCAACAGGGTGTTCTATTGTTTTCTTGCACATCTTGATCCGCTATGGTTTGCTATGCTTCGCTGTTGTCAAGACTATCCAAAAAAAAAAGTTCCATCCCGTCCTCAAAAGAGTAGCCATCCATCCAGCAGGATGGATCTCCACGGACCTTTCGTGTCTGGTTGCCACTGCAGCATCTGGACCGCGTGTACATATCCTCGGTTCGACAAGACTCAACATATCTCAATGGACTCAACGTGTCAAGAAGCTGGACGCCAAGAGCATTTATTTAGGCTCCGGAAAAAAGGCAAAGCAGACAAACAGGAGTCTTGCCGGTCTTGCACAGTAGGCTCATGGCTGTACAGCAATGCTTCAATGCGAAACTACAAAAGGCATAAAGCGAGCAAAGCAAAGCTGAGTCTCATCCCAACAAGCAGGGTCACCTTCCACGCAGCACCTCTCTTCCTCAAGCAAGCACCACAGTGCGCGGTAAAAAGCTTGGCAATGTTCAATATTGAAGACTCCTTCTTGAAGCTTTTAGTGCGATGTGTCACAAGCTTGAGATTCGAGGTTCAGGGTTCAGGCTACTTAATGCCATGCTATGTCTTCATCAAGAAGCGTTGAATTCGCCATGCCAACAGGACTCACCCAAGGCTGAAGATTGCCACGGCAACACGGAAGAAAATGCAGTCACAAGCTGCCATAGCACCTGCACTGCAAGGACTCCAAAGGGCTCTGGCGAAGTATGACTGAGGGTGGTCTGTTTAATGTTCTTCCTAGTCAGTTGCAAGCTGCTTGTCACTATGTTGTCTAGAAGCCACCATGTGTATCCATGTGTGCGATTCATTTCCGATTCCTATGCCCCTGAATTATCTTGGTCTGCCATTGAGAGCTAGAGGCTAGAAGGCATTGAATCACCTGAGCATGTTGGCAACAAGTGCCCCCCAACTGCTCTGCCACAAAATTGCCTGCATCACCAGAGTATAGTGCTGGCTGCTCTTCCCTCGACCCTTTCCTGCGGATGCGATGGTTGAGGCAGCTCGTTGATCCGTGGCAGCGATCACCCATACCGACAATTGCTGATCCCACTGATCCGAAGCTCTGCCAAGCTTAGTGAGACTAAGGTGACCAGTGAGGGCTTTGTCTCTGCTGACTGTGATCGGCGTGCTGGCTATGGTTGCAGGATTAAAATGGAGGAAATAGTCAGCAACATTTGTGGCAACATGTGTGCCTGCTGGGAAACAGGTAGTTCAACAAGGTTGCCTGCCAAGGGATGTTCAATGGACGGACGATTCGATCGCGGATTGAGCCAGCTGTGCCACACATCCCTCCCAACGTTTCGAAGAGACACTCGCTCACAACCAGTGGGCAACAAGACATGGCAACAAGACTCGCAAAACAACGTGTGCAAGGTGAGCACTTTGTTTGTCTTGGTATCCGCATCACGGCTCATATTTTTGGTGGAATTGTCATGTGGATTTCTGTGAGGGTTGAATGAAAGGTAAATGTGATTCTGCGTCGTTACTTGGGATGATTCGCTGCATGTCTAAAATCACTTCAAGAAAGCCACTAAAGGCTTGTGAACTCTGTTGTCACAGCGTGTGCGGATATTTGATGGGGTTTGAAGCGTGTCACAATCTTGCTGTTGGAAGTTGCACATGGCATCATGGAACCCTCATGGAACGGCAAGTCTTTTCCATGTGTGACACACCTAAACGTATATATAGTACCGTATATAGATAGACAGCATGAAATAGCAGCCAAGCCAATGCCTGGGACAAAATACAAAAGCATCTAAATCCAGAAAGCCAAGAAGCTATGAGATGTGCAGCTGCAGGTGACGTTTCGTCAAATGGGCTAACATCTTCATTCGTCCACTCGAATGGCGTCCCGTCCTCCGTAGCTCCGAAAGCTTTGGAACTGGAAGAAAAATCAGCTGGAGCGATGCTGGACGTGGGGCAAGAGGGTCCTGCCCTCTCAGGACTCTGAGACAAACAAGAAAAATCTTCGGATTGATTTTTGTTTGAAAGTAAGGTCAAAGGAGTCTTGGAGTCTTGCTTGCCAACACCTGCCTCATGTTCCTTCCGCTCGTTCCAACGATACTTGTAGGCGCCATGGCCCTGAAGCACCGCAGACATGAATGCTGTCACAGCACCTGCCTTCTGGATCAAAGCAAACACATCGAGAAAGGAAGGTCATCCACGTTGAAGCAACTGATGCTAAAACGCTATCAGTCCATTTGCATTCCACCACTACGCCGTTCTGGGGCCCTTCTGGATGCGGCTCGAAATTGGTGCGAGGTGAGTCTCTTGCTTTGTCCTGCCTGATGGAAAATATACTTTGATAGATGACTCGGCATAAAGATTGGCATATTCATTCCTGAGTCTTGACCATTTGCAGAAACATCGAACAAACATTGCATTTCTCTGCACTCACGTCTCAGGTTGGAAGATTTGTTCCAACACAACTTGGAGATTTGTCAGGAGCGACGAGGAAAGCGATGTGCTGCTTGCCATTTGTTCCCCTTCCAAGTGGCCATAGAATTCGTAAAAGGTGATCAAGTCCATATCGTAGGGCCAAAGTAGTACTGCCCTGAACTGAGCAAAGGTGCTGAATTTCTTATCCGTCATAGCCTCACAGCCAAGGTGTCACACAGCAGATTGAGCAATTTCAAATTGGCATCACGCGTGTCTGCGTATCCATCCATTTCTGCCAAGTGACTCTAGTGATAAATCCTTGGAAAGCCATTCCCGTTTCTTGACTGTTCCTGATACATCCCTTTACATCCTTAGTCCTTTTACATCCCATTTTACATGAAATTTCGTCATTTTAGATGTCATTATAGCATTGGCTGAGTGTAGGAAGTCGGCTATCCGTCTAGGTTTGCGTCTTGCAGCTGATGCTTACCCGACCAAGAGGGTTCCTGCATTTAGTAAAAAGTCGTGCCTGGCCTGATGTGTCTGTCTCTAGCAATCTTCATGGGCCCTAGAGCCGACAGAAAGACTGCCCATTCTGTTCACATCTGATAGATTGATTCACGTTGTGCTGCTATGCTGTTTGATCCAGCATTGGTATTTTCAACACCGCCACCACTGACCTTACCAAGAGACGGTACGGATAGCTCGTGCTACTGGCGACGCGTAGGCGGCCCTCGGAGACGGGCCAGTCCAAAGGTTCTCCTCTCCGTTGCAAACGGGATGCCAGCTACAAAATCTACAAAATATACAAACACCCTCTGACGTGTTTTCGTCATGTCATGGCGGAGTGTATTGCACGTGCTTGCAGAATCTTGCAGAAGTATGGAGATAGACAAATTATACCATGGTGAGTGCAACAAATGGATACGCACATCAGTCCTCCAAGGAATCGCTGCAGGGTGCACAGAAGAATTGCTTCATGGGGGCCTTGGCATATCCGGCTGTTGAGGAATTTACTGCGGATCTTGAGTAAAGGAAAACAAATGTACTGCATCCAGCTGTGGCAAAAACCTGGACTGGCTTGCCACCTCTCATGACCGTTTGGACGCACCCTCGCTCAGACTGAGAATGCAGCGATCCAAAACCTCAAAACCGTCAAAACCAAATCAAATGTATCACAAATGAATTTTCAAATGAAGCAAACGAGCTGTCCTAAACTTGTGATATCTTATGATCCTGTCCGTCCCCTCAAGCCATCTCAAGCCCATGCCAAGGTGCCAAGACCTCCTCACTTCGCTGTGGGAAGTGTGTCGTCCCAGTGTATAGGGCATGAGTTCGAAGAACTGGCAGCTTTGGCGAGCCCAGTTGATATTCAAACCTGGAAGTGCTTCAAGGGTAACATCAGTGTATTGGAAAAAGTTGGAAGTCATGTCAAGGGCAACATACTTATGCATGCTTATGCATCTTTGGCTGAGCCGCTGCATTTGCAGGAAAGGATCACTGACGGCAAACTCCACCGAACTCTTCCTCGCCCAGTGACAGAACATAGAGAGAGAGAGATAGTTTTATGTCCCGAGATTTTGCAAGTTCCAGTTTTTCTGCTTCACAAATTGCACTGTGAACACTTGCATGTCCAAGCATCTTCGACATTTCAGAGAAGCGCTCCCAAAAGCTATTGCGAATATCTTGCTCATCTGGCACCATGAACCTAAGAGTTTTACAGTTTGCAGGTGTTGCATGATCTTCTTCTGTGGGTTTGGGTGGATTTGGAACTGGGCACAATATTCACAAGTCATTCGATCCAGTTACCCTCTTTGCATCTCCTTGCCACCAAGTGGCAAGAGCGGATGGCCAAAGTAGCCCAGCGTTGGTAGATCCACAGGCTCCAACAAAAGGCACAAGTATGGCACAGTACAAACCAAAACGTCCACATAGTTCAAGCGAGCACCTGTTGGATGACATTCTTGCAGAAGTCGATATGGTCAAACTTCTCACATGAAATCTGAAACAAAAACATCAAAAACACAATAATCAGAAAACCTGCGTTCCTGGGGCGTGCACCCGCCACTTTTTCGAACTCGGCGACGAAGCCTTCCATGTCAACAATTGCCTCCTGGGCATTGAGGCATTTCTTGGAATCAACTAGAGCCTAGAGGTGAAAAGCAAAGAGACATCCTGCCGCTGCAGTCCGGAAAACAAAGTCTGAGGTTGACAAGCAGGCAGCCATGTGTGTGTGAACAGAAGGAGCCTTGCAAGCATATGAACGTTTCATAACGTTTCTTATGTCACAATGTTTTGCCTTAGGTCAATCGGTCGAAGCGCATATTAAAAATCATGCAATATAACATATGATAATATATGATAATATATGATAATATATGATAATATATGATAATATATGATAATATATGCAATATTTAAAGAAATGTCACAAAACCCGAAAACGAATCTTTCTGCCGCTCCTTGGAGCTGGCGCTTCGGGGCACTCGTCGTCTGAAGAGCTGGGTTATCTCCTGAGGAGGCGTTCACCAAATTGCGAATGCCAACGAAGCTCTCTGGATCCCTATGGTATCTATTGCAAAATAGATACAGACGATACAGATAGATATAGAAAAATATGGAACTCTGAAAGAAAATCTCTCTATTGCAATCAAGGTACATCTGTATCCTCTGGCTCAATACAATCCATCCGTGGGTGCCAGTACAAAGTCCCACATTTCTCTGGAAGCCACAAGGGATACCTTGCCGCAACGGCAGCAAATTTGTTTGAAACTCTGAATCCCTGACAAGAGACGAGCTGCATCACAGTGGCTGAACGAACACTGTCGATGCTTCGCTCCTACTGGTATAGAACATGAAGCTCTCTGATGACTAATTAGCGAGTGCCAGAATGTGCATCATGATATTGTATGATTCAACCTGTCAATTCATCAGCTCACCCTCAGGAAGAAAGTCCAAATAAAGTATTCGCCCTATGGAAACATGACAAAAATGTTTAAGTAATCAGTAATAAACAGTACTCATATAGTCCTTCTCAAATTTTCTCAAGACTCGACTTCTTTCCCAGGACGACATCTTTTTTGTGTTGGATGTGCTCACCAAACAAGGGGTGTGTATGTTGTGCAGCCTTTCTCAGCAGAGGCACTGGTCTTTGATGAGATTGCGGAACTTGAATTCGTGCACCGAAAAGATCCGGGCCAACATTTGGATGACTTCCGCTGAGAGGGATGCGTGTACTCCAACTTCCCAAACTTCAAGACGGATCGGAGAATGCTCAAACCTCATTTAGGCCATGCAAAGCACAATACGCACCAAAAGCAAATGTGTCTGTGCGGGACGAAAGGCCTGCAAAACGCATGTGAATGAGTCCCCCCAGCGATCCGATTTTTGAGAAGGGAAACCCTGACTTCTCAAAAGCTTATATAACTACTTTGATCCCGGCCGATCTCCTCCATTGAATCATTGCAGTCCGGTCGCATTTTGTTTTCATTCTCGGTTTGCTATCATATTCTATGCTTTCCGGGTCCTTGTTTGCCCCCTTCCTAGAAGCCGTGAAAATCCAAGCAAGAAACTGATCAGCAACACGCACAGCCTCCAAAATCTCCACCGAGGTCTGTCTGCCAACTTTGGGCATTTCAAACCGGCGGCGCGCCTCCGGTGGTAGCAAGAACTCCTCATTTTTATCAGCTGCTTCCAGATTCGCTAGGATATCAACCAAGGATATAGGCCAACCTGCATCACGGGAGGCATCCAAAAATGAAAAAATGCTCCAACAAATCTTGGTGTGGCTTTTTGGAGAAATGAAATTAACAAGTATCTGGTCCATCATCTCTGACATGTCTGTAATTCCCCTGTTGTTCCATCGCCTGAGCTTTCCATGAAGTCCAACACGTGGTTCATAGTGGAGCCCAGCAAAAAGCTAGCATGCTGCAAGAAGTTTCTTCGGTCAGGATGGTCATGGCGGGCGATGACCCACAAGGCAGAAGCCATGCCGTACAAGCCTTGTTTGACAGAAGCTGCTCAGCAGCTGCTTGGCTGCTTGAACTAATTCGGCGTTTCTGCAACTGTATGGCGGGCTGTCGTGAAAATCATAGACTCCTGATTCACCAAGAGGCAAAAGTCTCCACCTTTAACATTTGGAGGGCGATTGCAGGTTCCCAAAAACCTTAGCCATCACGAAACCGGAAACCAGAGTGAGAGTGAGCCTTTTGTGCCGTGACAACGCGCTGCGTGCCTGCAGATACAGTCAAGATGCACTGAACTTCAGAAACCCTCGGACTTGCCCTCTAAGTGCAATTCATGCCAAAGAAACTGGCGCATCCCAAGCGAAGCCCCATAAGCTGCATCGCCATCCACCTCTTAACCGCAGTGCAGTGGGCTGAAGGACATGTCCTATAATTAAGTCCTATAGGTCCTATAGGTTGTATGGCATCTCAGTTTTGCACAACTTCCTTCACTTTCGAAATCTGAGTTTTGTCCAATGCACTGCCGACCTCCATGGCTGGACTGTGCTGCTGGATTAGCTCCTGCGCACTAACAGCCAGGTCCACATCTCTCGGAAAGCCCTGCTCTGCATTCCGCCCGAAGAGAGTTCGAAAGGACGACCACGTCTCATCGCCTCGGCGCGGTTCCATGAGAAGAACGATGAGGATGTCATAGGCAACAAATTGTAAATAGTATTAGAATGTATTAGACTACAACAGCGTATAGTAGATTATAATATATTATAATCAGTCCCAGTAGCTGACTTGAACCTTGTGGCCCAAAACAAGGAAGAAAATCATTCAGCCAGGCTGCAATCCAGGAAGTTCTGCGCAAGGACTGGCGGAGCCCATGCAAACGCCAAGGCCCGCAACATGCTAGGTGGCTCGACAGCATGGGGCTGTGCCCCTGCTTCCCAGTGTTTTGTCTTTTGTGTTTTTCGTGCATGCCGCCGTACTGCCAAACTGCCAACTGGCAATGAATGCTGTTATCGCTTGAGCACTGCAAACACATTGAACAGGTGGTCCTGCCTGTCTTATTGCTCCTTTTGCTAGGCAAATATTCCTATCAGTTGGGCTGCCCTTCGTGCTTGTTGTCCTACCATGTTGTTGTTTTTTGTCTTTGTTTATCTTGCTTCAGCGTCCAGCAGCTCCGATAAGCGCAACAGCCTCATATCGCATATCCTATGAAGAAGATGCGATGAATGCCAAATCAGGAAAAGCCAGCACTCCAACACCAATCAATACAGAGACACAAAAGGTCACAAGTCAGGTTGAGTAAAGTATCCATTGCAGCTTGAGACTTGCTTGCTTCAGTTGCGTCCTGTGGCGAGAGCTCCTGCGTCCTCAAAAGCAGGAAGGATGTGAATGACAGAGGGGCTGATACTGAGCCCAAACAAACTCCAGCAACTGTCCTTCGCCGTGCTTCAGCGCAAGCGGGAAGAAGCAGCTCCTCAGCCTTCGATGGGAAGATACGAAGCAAAGCTTCAGAGCGGGGCAAAGCCATAGCAATGCCATATGGTCATCATGGCAAGGAATCCTCGACTAGGTCTGTCAAAATGGATGTCTCTGTCTGTTCTGCTGCCATGTCCTTCCTCCAAAAGACTCCCGAATCTGACGGCTTGCGACTTGCCTGCCTTGAAATTCAGGAGGCCAAGAGCATATATCACGTTGGACAGCTCTTGTGGTTTGCCTCGAGCTTTCACATCAAAAATGGACAGGCTGAAATGTGCCTACATCATCTACAACAGAAAAATACAAGAGCAACTCGCTAGCTCCACATCCCGCTCCAGGTCTTTCACATTGCGGAACAAGGCCAGCTGTATGGCGACAAAATGCTTCCAAAGGCCTAAGCAAAAATCGTCTCACAAGCAGTCCAAGAGATGCCGCAAGGGCATCATTTGAGCAGACGCATCATTAAGTCCGAAGGGTTCCTGCTGCTCCCCTAGCAGCCCTAGCACAACTTTCCCAATAAGGACTGCATCAAAGGCACAAAAGGACCCACCAAACGCCAGAAAGTTGATTCCTTTGGATAGTTCCGACTGTCATCCTTATCTATCTATCCATATCCATCATCATATATCATCATATATCATCATATATCCATCCATGTTCTGTGTGTATGTATCTTATTGATTCTTATTGTATCTTCTGTTCATTTTGACTCTTCACCTCTTGAAGACCTTAAAGATTGTTTATGGCGTTTATGGCCTTCGGGTGCATCCTTGGATCATTTTGGACTGCGCTTGGTGTGTAAAATCAGTGTGACACGGGGCGCTGCTTAGCAGGAGCGTCGCGCTTTGATCTGATGTGTTTCTCCTCAGGTGTGGCAAACATAACAAAGAGATCAGAATGATCAGAAGAGATCGAGCACATGATGATTGACCCCTACAAGTAACATGATGCACATGTCATAGATGTCTAAACAAGGGCCAAATACAACCAAGATAACCAAGAAAAATATACACATCAGACATCTATAATCTGATGAATCCAAGCCGCAAGAGCAAGACGAGTAGCTTCTGTCAGAGTCTTGATGAAACCCCGCTGCTTTGCCTTGTCCTCAATGCCTCGGATCTTTGCCTCCAAACGCTCCATGTCTTGGAAGTTCAGAGCCTTTACACTTGGAGCAGACTCAGCAGGCATAGGTCGCATAGGTATGTCAGGATGTGCCGCGTTTGCCGCGTTTGCTGTCCTGGCTGCAGTTGCCGCAGTGGCTGCCGTGGCTGCGCTTGCCACATTTGCAGGTCTTCTTGCCTACGTGGCAAGAACCAACATAAACCCCACTGCACAGGTCTCAAAACTCCAGCCCTGCAATAGGAGTTCAAACTAGTCTCTTGGGTGTACAAAAAAACATTAGAAAACCATAAAAAGGCAAGAGAAATCTGCCGTTCAAAGTCCAGGCATAGTCCAAGCATCGTTCGTGGATTCCTTGCTGGGTTCGGCATCTGAAGAGGCAGTGCTGGAGCTGCTGCTCTCAGAACTGCTTTCCGACTCAGAATCTCCTGCAGTCTCACCTTGCGTCGACCGTTCGCGCTTCTTCGCTCTCAAAAAAGCTTCAAGGCGTTCCTTGGTCTTTGAAGGCAACGATGAGATAGCTTCAGAGCGCTTCTCCTCTGTAAGCTGCAACAAACGAGCCCACAGCTTTGCGGCAAAAGCATGCTCCACTACACTGGCCTCAGTTGCACTATCATTTTGAGCCGATTCCATGGGTCTCTCTGGTGGTCTCTCTGGTGGTCGCTCTGGTGGTCGCTCTGGTGTTCTCACCAGTTTGGGTCCTGAATTTGCCTTCGGTGAAGGCACCGGCTTGGCCTTAGGGGTTGGTGCAGCTTTTGGCGCTCGGTTGATCCTGTGCATTGACGGGATTTCAGCAAAAGCCAACTCGATTGTCTCTTCTAAGGTGCGCCGCCTTTTTCGCGGTTCGCTTCGTTGACTCCCTTTTGTCGGTGCCTTGAAGGCAGCTGCAGCTGCTGCTGCTGCCCTGAAAGCATCAGGGAATGGCGTGCTGAATGGTGTGAAGACTGAAGTGTCTGAGCTTGGAGAATTGGAGCCGTTCGATGGTTTGCGTGTCAATGGCTGTGTAGGCACCGTTTTGAGGAGAGCTTCATAGGCAGTCTTCACAGAACGAAACTCCTCCACGTTGCCTCCCTTGTCAGGGTGGGTTTCCAGCGCACGCTTCTTATACGCAGCTCTGAGCTCTTCCTCATTGCACCCAGGCTGAATACCGAGCACCCGATATGGTGAGAGCATTCTGCATCAAGCATCCCTCACCATCATGCACAAGGCACGGCTGCATCTTTCATGCCTTGGACTAAATGTAAACTTGTGCAGGCTCATATCAGTGTTTGCCTGGATCCGAAACCTGAGTGGACGTCTTTCAGGTCACTACTTGGCTGCATGTACATGATCTATCAAAAAGCTTGCATACTAGTTCGTTGCAGTCTGCACATGCTTCCAGGCGGCTGAAACCCAGAACATATAGAATCTGGCGTTCTTTTTGCAATGAATCTAGCCGCTACTCATCGAGAACCAACAGCTGCGAGCCACATAAATCGAGATGCATCACAATGCAAAGGCAACACAGCGGTTTGGAATGCATCAATTAGTTTATATACATATTATTTTTTAATATATGTAAATAAATACTTACAAAACATATATATATATACATATATATATATATTGTACGTACATACATATATATATATATGTGTGTGTGAATGTATGTATGTATATTATATATATACCCAGGATATATATATATATATACATGCGTGTATATATGTATATGTATGTGTGTATGTATATGTATATGTATATGTGTATGTGTATGTGTATGTATGCGTGTATGTACCACAGTGTATGTATGTATGTATGTATGTATGCATGTATGCATGTATGCATGTATGCATGTATGCATGTATGCATGTATGCATGTATGCATGTATGCATGTATGCATGTATGCATGTATGCATGTATGCATGTATGCATGTATGCATGTATGCATGTATGCATGTATGCATGTATGCATGTATGCACGTATGCACGTATGCACGTATGCACGTATGCATGTATGCATGTATGCATGTATGCATGTATGCATGTATGTAAATATATATATATATACATTAATATATATATACTACATTCATATATATATATATATTTATTTATATCTGTGTGTGAATGTGTGTGTATGCGGTGTGTATATTCAGTTGTATCAATCTGTTAGTTAGTTACATCACATAGCTGAAATAGCAGCTGCAGGTCTGCAGGACTGAGAACAAACAACAGAGCCAAAATAAGTTCACAACCTGTCGAGGTCTTTCGAGATCTTTCGAGGCTTCGGGCCCTGACCCTTCAGTGTAGCGCAACAAGGCCCAGGAGTATAAAATGTTGGAGGAGCCCCTTGCCTCAGTCGCTGAGCTCCGTTCAGGAGTGATGCAACGTTTAAGATGAATGGCACAGATAGGTCCTGATAGGTCCTGATAGTACGCTCCAAAAGTAAAGGTCAAGGAGTTGAGGAGCAACAAACACTTTGGCAGAGATGCAGTAGTTGATACAAACAGTGCCATTCCACAAATTCACATGCAGCACATTCCAGGCACAGTGATCATGTTGGCAATTCGGTCAAACTTTTTACTGGCCAAAATTGGTTGCCGGACATCAATGTGATGTAGTTCTGGAAGAGCCTGCTTCAGCACATGTGGCAGATCAAAGACAAGAATGATGGACAACATCCAATCGGCTGAAGTACCTTGCAAATCAATGAGATCATCTTTCGGCCCTGCATACCTTTGTCTTCCAATTTGATAGCTGAGCTGTTGATCAGATAGAAAATAAGAGAATCCAATAAGGAACGAAGAAGAACGGTTACCACTCGATCTGCGCCCAGCTGCACACCGAAAAGTCTGGAGAGGAGACAAGTGGAACAAGGCATCAGAGGACTATATTGCTACCTCCCTGGGAGACAACCCCAGCCACTGGAGAAGCAAAATCCAGGGCAATGAGAACAACGCCCAGATCCGAAGTGGCACTTCAAGCAACAGTAAACCAGTAATTTAATAAGGAAATATAAGGAATATGAATATTCCCAGGGAATCTCCTTCAAAGCATGGCAAAAAAGCCCTTCCAACATCTTCCAACCAGGTCCAAGATGGTCCAAGCACTCCACCTCTGCAAGCTGCTTTATCAGAGATTTCAGCTGCCCAGGAGAGCATGGAGAGCCAATGGACTTTAGCTCTTTGGCTCTGGCGTGTTTCGCCACTCGGTGCCACGCAGTGGCATGGCTCGCTGCTGGCCACCTGTATTGGAGTCGATACATGCACACGGGACACCCAACGTTTCACAGAAGTGACAATTTCAGCCATCTTGGTTAGTTAACCTCTTCACATAAACTTGACATAAACTCTGTATCATCATGCATGCCCGATTAGAACATTGCCCCAGCGTAGGATTGCCAACGCTCCAGGCAACACTGTTTCTGATGCCCTGGGCCACCTGCGAATTGGTTGGAACCTCAGGCCAACAAGTCAGCTGTAAGAATCCATCGGAATCCATAACCTGTACAAATTGCAAAAAAGAATGGTGGCAAAACTGCGACAAGACGCAACGAATTTCCGCTATATGAGAATCCAATTCAACCGATCCAATTCAACCCTATTTCGCCTCTTTAGCCCTATTGTTCTCGGTCTTGCTGCCCTGCTAGGCTGGATTTTGCAGGACCCTTGGGTACAAAACAAGTATAGTAAACATCAGGAGCCTTTTTTATGGTTGTTTGGTGCGGAAAATGTAGATTCTCCAAACCCGTGTCTCCTGTGGTGTGGGTCAAGTCACTCTCTGAATATGGCAGCGAGTTCTTCGAGGCCATTGCTCTGGGCCAATAGCCTAGACCCACAGCAACACAGGAAACCCCAAAAGCTGTAAGCGGTGAATGAGTGAGGTCCAAGTGGTTCCAACAGCAACAATGCATCAGTAACAAGATCGAGGACAGCAAACAAACAGGCCAAGGCGACAATGTTGCAATATGTGTAGATTGTGAGGCTCCTGCAAAATTACAACCACAACCTTGATCCCATCATCTGCGGCCTCTGCAGATTGCTCCTGCCCATCCATGGCGGAGGCCATTTCAAGGCCACAAGGCTTCAAACCGGATTAGCTCGCACTCCCAGCAGAGAGACAATGGCCACTGAATTTGGGAGTTCACTTCGGGCAGTAATCTTTGGCTTCTTTGCAGCCCTTACCTGCTTGCCATGGTAGCAGAGTTATGACGCACCATATCGGTTACTGTTGTTGTAGTCTTGGCCTCTTGGTCGTAATGCAAAATCATATCAAATTCACTGGTAGCCGCAGCACTGCGGAGAAGGAATAAGAAGCGAAGGCATCGTCCATGATATTTGATCACATTCTTGCAGTCAAGGCTGCCAAAAAAAATCAATCTTTAATTGAATGAGCTCTGCCACAGTGTAGTAACCTGTGTGGAGATATGCCTGGTCTCGTACATGAGCACATGTTTCGGCTCAAAATTTTTGCTGGGCCAATCGGCAAGAGGGGTTAAAGACCCGATCTTGCCTCGTTCCGATAAATGGACAATGGTCAACCATCTATGTGTCCAACACTGAGCCGGTGCGAGCACACCACCCAGCGACCTAGTACATGTTCTGAGCAATACGTGTCCGATTCCGAAACCCAAACACTTACTTTTTGACAATGTCCCAGCCACAGCTTTGCGCAGACTTGCGGAGCTGGGGATCAACCTACGAGGGTGGTATTGCACCGTCGTCGTCTCACTCCAACTCACTTCTCATCACTTCTCACTGTTTCCATGTGTTTCTTGACGCTGTCTCTATATATCCAAAGTGCAAGCAAGGCCTGGAAACGATCAGGATGCAGCACCGGCCTTGCACCCGATGCAAAAAAAGAAAGCGGAATGTGAAAGGGCGTTCTGTTCTTTGTTCATCTTAATTCATAACCTTGCTGCTCTTTCGCTCGCTCTCTGGCTCTCTCACTCTCTCACTCTCTCATTCGGACCCTAGCTCATCCCCTTAACTGCAGCGATGGGGTAGTGGCCCGCCTGTCCGCCTAGTGTTGCACCCGGGTACTGAACCCGGGTCTGACGCATGAGGGATGCATCTTATCCACTAGACCATACCGGCCCTCTCACTCTCTCATTCTCACTCATTCTCTCATTTTCCAATTTTCTCTCACTCTCTCTCTCTCTCAAACTCTCTCTCTCCCTCTCTCTCTCTCTCTCTCTCTCTCCCCCTAATAAACCTAAACCCCTAAACCAAGAAACCCTAAACCAACCCGAGATGTACCCTAAACCAACCCTAAATTTACCCTAAACAAAACCTAAACTAACCCTACATAAACCCTAAACCTAAACCGACCTTGAATAAACAAACCCTAAGCAAACCCTAAGTAAACCCCAAACCAGCGTTAAAACAAACCATAAACCAACCCCGAAGCAAACCCTACGAAACAACAATTCAACCCTAAACCAAAACAAAAGAAACCCTAAACCAAGCATCCATAAACCCCAAACCAAGACTACATAAACCCCAAAACAAACCCTACAGAAACCCGAAACCAACTCTCAAGCAAACCCTGACGAAACCCAAATTTCACCTTAATCCTAGACCAAGCCTAAATAAACCCAAAACCAACACTATATAAGTAAACCCTAAAGAGACCCTAAAACAAACCTTGACGAAGCCCTACATTAACCTTTAACCCTAAACTAACCTCAAATAAACCTAAACCAAGCCTGAATATACCCTAAACCAAGCCTAAATAAACCCTCAAGCAAGCCTAAATAGACCCTAAACCACCCCTAAACAAACCCTAAACCAACCTTAAAACAAATCCTGACGAAACCCATCACCAAACCAACACTAAGTCAACCCTAAATAAACCCTGAAACAATCCATGATCATTGAATCCCCTACAGGGCCGCTTTGATCAGGTCCGCTCTAAATCATGACGGAAAACATAGCGGCTAGTTGAGGCTAACAAAATCGAAGTACAAACTAGATTAGGCTAAAGAAAACCAGAATACAACTGAAGAAAACATAATAAGTCCACTAACCCACCCTGCACTGAACTGCACTGATATATTTCCCCTTTTCCGAGATATTCCTATCAGGGTTGGGCGGAGGATGTGTTTAAACGGTTTAAACATTGATGTTTAAACGATGTTTAAACACCAAACGTTTAAACAGTTCAGGGGAGCACGGGGTGATGATAGGAAATGTTGAAACATGTTTAAACCCATGTTTAAACATGTTTTTAAAAAAATCTGGAAAGTGGGGATCGGAACCACATGTGACCTGGTGGGGGGTTCCCTGGAACCAGTCCGACCAAACCAGCTCCTTCCACAGGGACCCGAAGACGCGCAACTGTTTTCAAGAGACTTGGACAAAGAGTCAAGAGGTCAAGAGTGAAGGGTCAAACCTGAGTAAATAAATTCCAAGAGATTGTGGACCCAACCTCGTGAGATCACGTGCACATTGAATTAGTTTAAACATGTTCCCCGCAACCCCCTGGTTCGCCCACACTCAAACAACACATCCAAACAATGTGATATACTTATCACCAGAAGATGAATGAAAACACTGGCTATACGCAGTGAATTTGACTTTAAGTTTTCAGGATTTAGGGTTTTAATTTAGGGTTTAGGGTTTTAGGTTTTAGGGTTTTGGTGCTTGTTGTTTTGGAAAGTAAAAAATTGAACCGTGCGCAGGGATTTGAGCATGTCAAAGGATATGCGGGATTGGCCGCGGGCAAACCTAGGGGTTGCAGCGAACATGTTTAGACAAAAGTTCAAACACGTGTAAACAAATTCCGAAAGATTGTGGAACCAATCGCGTGATGTCACCATCTATATCATCGTCACCATCATCATCATCATCATCATCGGCATCATCATATCATATCATATCATATCATGAAGATCATGGTGACCCTCATGAGCCCCGTGGGATTTGATCCCTCATGAAAATAAGCCGAAACGAAAAATCATGAAAAAACCATTCAACATATTTGTTCAGAGGAGGTGGGGGGTTTGATCCCTTATGACGATAAGTGGAAGTTAATAAACCATTCAACATATTTGTTCAGAGGGGGTGGGGGGGTTTGATCCCTTATGACGATTGGATTCCCCTAGCATGACTCATATGCTTGACCTTTTGTCTTTGTTGAACGTGTGTTTGGAGGGTGTAGATTTATATAGTTTGTAGAGGAGAGATCTTGTGGGTTATGGTCGAACGTGGGGCTTGGTGCCAACATGTTCGCTGCAACCCTAACGTTGCTCCGCGTCTGACTTCAGGTGGCTATGAAAATAAAGTTGGTTTTACTACCCCAGTCAACATATTGTTCATAGGGGGTCGCGAATTTTGATCCCTTATGAAGATAAAGATGATGTTATTACCCCAGTCAACATATTGCTCATAGGGGGTGGCGAATTTTGATCCCTTATGAAGATATAGTTGATGTTTTTACCCCAATCAACATAGGGGGTGGCGAATTTTGATCCCTCATGGAGATATAGTTGATGTTTTTACCCCAATCAACATATTGTTCAGAGGGGGTGGCGAATTTTGACCCCTCATGAAGATAAAGATGATGATTATGATGATGGTGGTGATGATGATGATGATGACGACGACGACGATTGTAAGTGTGGAGCAACGTCCGGGTTGGGGCGAACATGTTTAAACAAATGTTAAAACATGCTTAAACCAATTCCAAGAGATTGAGGGCCCAACCGCATGAGATTATGCGCACTTGCAGAATCAAGCACTGAGAAATTCTGCTGCTCGTGACATCACCCTGGTGCTTCTTTCTCGCTCACCCGTTCTTACTACTCAAATCACTCATATTATTACATTTGAGTCTTCTCGGCCGCCAACTTTCAAATGCGGAAATCTGTTTAAACTGTTTAAACACATGCTTAAACATGTTCAAACGTCACAGCAAGAAGTCGAAGATCCGACCGCTCCAATATCAGCGCTGCCATGTCCAGAATCCGATAAATACGTTTAAACGGTTTAAACATATGAATCAAAACTTTAAACGTGTTTGAACGGTTTACTGTTTAAACCTGTTTGGAACGACCCTGATTCCTGTGTTTAAAAAGGTCATTCCTCACATTTCACGACCGGAACCTCTGCCTTGAGGTGTTTCTAACCTAATCTAGTTTCACTTGGTATGAATGCGTCAGCAGGCAAATGCTAGAGAAAACTAGCAAACACTAAGAAAAACTAGAAAAACATAAAGAAACAAAAATAACTAGAAAAACCTTTAAAAAAACAAGAAAGCCTTAAAAAACTAGAAAAACCTAACTTTTTCCCAGTTTTCCCCTGTGACTTCCGGAGGTGGTTGTTGTTACAAATTCCATTTTGTAAACACACTTGTCATGCAGTGAACCCACTGAAAGCAACATAGAAAAAAATCAAAGCTAGAGCTAAACAAATCCAGGAAAGGCTCGCGAAGGATTTGGACAGGATTTTCCCTGGATTTTCAAGGATCCAAAATCATTTAAAGAAGGCCACGTCAAAGAAGCCTCTTCGCTTGTCTAAGACATGAGGAAACCCTGCAGAAACTTTAAACCAACCCTAAAACCAACCCTAAATAGACCCCAATACACCTTGAAACAACCCTGAACCAACCCTACCATAAAGAAACCATGTCACTTTGATGGCCCACGAGGCACGCCGAAGGGCAGTCACCCCTCGCCCCCAGTGGGGCTGTGGAGGGTGACTGACTCCATCGTGGGGGGTGATTGACTCAGGGTGGTCTGACTCTGCTGGGTGACTGATTCCGTCTGGTCTCCCCTCTCCATCGCCATCTCAGGCGTTACTGTCAAAACGATATCACTGATATCACAATGATATCCTTTTTTCGCCAATCCAAGACACACAGTATCCGCATCGGCGAGGCATGGAAGGAAGCAATTCCCACATACCTTTCACCATCTTTCAACATGCCCAAGGGTGCAACCAGTCGCTCTAAAAAAAAACTTCACTGAAGAGCCTTAGGGTTCAGTCCCATGTGCAAGTAAGCAAAATGCAACTTGTTGTTGCTCCCCCCACCTTGCCTCCCTGAGCGGGGT